TTAAGAGCAATTTGTCCCCGCTTCCCCTGGGCTCCACTTATGCAATGTCTCCTTTTTTTACCCTTGCTCCAAGGAGCTAATAGTGGCATGTAAGTCTTCCTTACTTTTCCCCGTACAACAACAAGGCAGGTTTGGCAAAGAGAGAATCACCTTTCCTCAACTACTCTGTCCCATAACACTGTTCTCTTTTGTTTCAGTGTCTTGGCCTTCACTCAGTACAGGCCACTGTGTTGCTCAGAGTAGACCCAATATATCAAAGGCAAGTCTGCTCTGTTTTGGGGAGGGCCTTTTTCTTTAGCATCAAAGCAGCTACTTGTGTTTGGAGAAAGCTGGGGTGTGCATGCAGTTTGCAAAAGGAAAACGGAACACATACTCCATTTTTACCAGGGAGAAAGATAAGAAGCATGACATTAATTTGCTTATTCAGTAAAAAAAATGTGGACCCTTTATCAGCAGGCATGCAGCCAAACAGAGATTACTTGTTCATCTTATTTATTCAGCTTTATATAACATCTTGCTTATTTTATTACAGTGAGGAAACCTAAGTCAATAAAGATACCAGAGCAGGGACGGGGCTGCAAAAAAGAGGATAGCGACAAATCTGAAAAAAACCTTTCAGTAAAGAGCACAAAAATGCGCTGCAGTTTGATTGCGTCCACAGTGTTCTTGGAAGAGTAACGGAAAGCGTCAGTGCTAACAGTGCCAAGCCGATAATCATATGCCATGGGGGTTGACCAGGGGACAGGTGAGGGGCAGGGGGGCAGTAGCCCCATGGGATTGGACAGCTGGGTGGTCAAAGGAAATCAAGCTCTTCAAATAGGTTGCGGAACATTTGCGCAAGAGCAATTGCAGCTCTATTGCATAGCAAGGGCACGGACGAACGCTTTCCTCCTCTCCCTCCCCATCAAAAAATTAATTAAAAAGACGAGTTTCGTGCATAGCATTACATCTAGGGAAGTGTGCAGCTGTGGATGGTATCCAGTTTTAACTTGGCAACAACCTTGTGAGGTAGGTTTTGCACAGGGATGGTGACTAGCACAGTCACAGGGATGCCAGCTTTGGACGTAGGCATGCCTCCAATGCAGGCGCTGCTCTTTCTCTGGTGTTACCATGATGAGCTCAGGTGGTTTTGGACCTGTGCTTCTAAGCACTCTCTTCTCTGACAAGGAAGGCTCGGGCAGCACCTGCTGGAGATGCCACTGATCGCCCACTCCTGGTTTAGGAGAACAAGCCAGGAACAGGAATCAGGGTTGAAGGCAGTGCTTCCCTAAACCAAAGGCGAGCAAATTGTGGCTGGACTCCCCTCTTGTGCACTGTCAAAAAAGAGGAAATGTGTCTCCCAAGAAGTGGCCATAAAGGACTCGGATCTTAGTGACACTAGCAAATGCGCATTTAGAGGTATACTTGCAAATTGAGAAATAAGTTGCTTAACTAGAAATACAAGATAAAGCAGAAGATAAACCAGGTAACCAAGTACCTGTTGTTCAGTCTGCTGACCAGGTGCTAACTCTTGACGGACAGCTTCAAGGCCCGCCCTTGTTCACCATCCTTGTGGTTCCTCAGCTTCAAATCAGACTCACACTGTGCATCCCACTGAATAAAAGACACTTGCAAATACCTGACCGTCCTCTATCAGGCTTTCCACGGTTTTCTTAGCAAAGCAGGATTGCCGGGCACCTATATTATGGCCTTCCCGATGTTTGGGCCTACAGTTCCCATCAGCCCTAGCCACCTTAGTGTACTTGATGGTGGAGGATGGTGGAACATGTAGGCCAAATCATCTGGAAGGCCACAAGGGGTCCACAGCTGCCCTAAATCATTGTTTGTTTGTTTGTTTATTAAAACATTTTTATGCCGCCCCATTCGCCGAAGCCTCGGGGCGGCGTACAACAATAAGTGAAAAAATAATTATAACATTAAATTAAAAAATATAAACATTAAGTTAAAAATACAAAAATACCAATATAAAATAAGCCGCCCTGGCCAGATAGTTAAGAACAAATGCAGCTTTTTGAAGGTTCATGCAATTGGTGGATATATTTTAATACTGTCGGTGTATTTTATAATATATACAGAAGGGTTTTTAAAAGAATTTTTTAGGATGGAATAGAAAAAGAATTGCATGGCTCCTGAGTCCAACCCCTGCTCCACCTCCACATGTGGTCTCCCATCCAACTGCAGGCCCAGTGCCTTTCCAGCTTAGCAAAGGTGACTTGACATGCTGGCTTGATGTTTAGCTATTCAGACATAACAAGCAGCCATGGTTAGTTGAAAGGAGAAAACTCCCAATATCCTTGTCATAGCTGTGCTAGAAGAGGGAATGGGCACGCAGGCAAATCTGGAGGCTTTTGCAAACTGCACTAGGTAAGACTTCCCCAACCCAGCACACTCCAAATGAGTTGGACTACACTCCCCATAACCCCCAACCAAAATAGCCAATGGATGTGCTTCCTGTGAATAACAGCTGCTGTACAACTCTTCTTCTGGAGGGTACCAGGCTGGGGAAGGCCATGCTAAACCACTGGCTGGCATGAGGGATGAACTGGGCTAGCAAACATTCTGGATGAGCAACAACTGGAACGTGGTATCCCTGTCCTCAGCCCCATCGTGGCAGCCGCTCGAACACGGTGACCATATTGATAGTTCCTCTTAGTCTGACATCTCAAAGCGAGGAAACAGAACATTCCGAATTCTTGTCCTGTGAACAAGAGACCTTTGGAAGTAGCAAATACAAATCTCATGATTCCTCGTGAATTTAATGTTCTGCTGCAGGAATTCAGTCTCTCGTGCTACATTTTATTCAATGAGCAACGGGTTGACCCATAAAGCATTTCCTGGTTTCCTTCAGGACCGTAGCAAGGCTGTGTCCTATGATTAGCAATCGGGAACTTAGGCCGAACTTGATGGCAGGTATCCACAAGAACAATAGGCTCTGTGACTCAAAGGTTACCCCCTGCCTATGCGGCTTGAAACTGACCACTAGAATGGGGATGAGGAGCCTTCCGGATGTTGTTGAATTCCACTGCCCATCATCCCCAACCAGGGAAGATGGTGGCTACAATCCAGCATTAGGAAGGCCACATTTTGCTTGATTCTGCAATAGAATGTATCATGGTGCGTCCAACAGAGGAATTCATTGTTATGCTTAGATAGCATGTTTTAGCATTTTGACAAAATATAATTTATATTTAAATTAATATGTGCTCAGGTGCATATGCTATGTTATGTTTTTTCACCAATTTTATTATGAATGTCAATAAATCAAAGAGTTTAAAAACCATAATGAAATAAAACATGAGGTTTGAATACATCTGCAATAATAGATACATATGCAGCATATTCCCCTATATATTTCATATAGGACAAGATATTCTACTGTTCTGGGGCATGAGGATGCAGAGATTCAACACAAGCAGATCAAATATCTATAAATTTGCCCACTTATGGATTACACCTAAAGATTACACATTCAAAAATTGAAAGCATCATCAGACCCTCAGACCATTGCATTATCAAAGGTGGCTATTTATTCTTCTGAAGTTGTAATATTAGTCTTATAGCTGTCCAAAGTCTGTGGAAAATCCATTTACATTGACCTTCAAGCAGGACAGTAACTGAGAAGAACATGCACCTCAGTAAACATGAAAGAACTTTCCATCACACAGTTTATCCCTATTATTGTCTCTTTGACTTTGCCAAAACAAATGGGTGAAGCAGTGTGAGAGAGCCAGTGCCGAGCACTGGTGAAAAGCATTGGTTTGTCTCCGGGGTGGTGGGTGCACTCCTTCATTTATTCTTTTTGAATTATCGTGTTCTTGTTATATTATTGTTGTTGTAATTGTATTTATGGTTTTTTCTGTCAAAAAAAAATTAAAAAGGGGGGAGAAAAAAAAGCATTGGTCTGGAGATCTGAGTTCTAGTCTCCATGGAATCAGCCCTACCTACCTCACAGGGTTGTTGTTGTGGGGTTATGACTGAAAGCAGCAGCAGAATGATGTCAGGTGCTCTGAGTTCATTGTGAGAAAGAAGTGAGATATAAATTTAATAGCTAGCTAGATATTGGGGCGTTCAATTTACTTTTTTTTGCTGAATTTAAGATAATGTAAGCCCTGTTAGCCCTTCTGAACAGAGGCCAGGGCAACAATCCATTCATGGGGCGAGCTGGTTATTCCATTCTTGCTTCCTATGGTCCTTCCTATCTTACTTATTCAGCAGCAACATTTCTAAACCCCGATCGCAAGCCAAACCAAGTCTTCAAGTATATTATCCTCACGCTGCCCCCAGTCTCTGCTTCACGTGCAACATCTAGATTTGCATATATTTGAATATATCAACGTTTATGCAAACAAACCTCCTTTGCTCATGGGATCTTCCCAGCGCCTGACGGAGATATCAATCATCCGGGGGGCGGGGCAAGGAGTTCGAGTCCAAGGCAGGGGCGGAGCTATCTTGGGAGAGGGAGAGGGATGTATTGGAGACTATCCAATGAGAGGAAATGTTTTCATCACGTGAGAAAGGACTCCTTCTCTTGGCCAATGAGTGTGGAGACCTGGGATCATACTATGGAACAGGGGCTGGTTTTAGCCAATGAGAATAAGCATCTCCTTGTCATGAGGGTGAACTCCCTTCTTATCCCAATGAGAACTGCGCTGCTGCCAATAGAGAAAAAAGGATGACTCAGAGAGCAGGCAGATAGCCATAGAAACGGCCAATAAAAAGCTCTCCAGAAGATCACGGGACGAGGGAAATGCGAAGTCCTGGCGGAACGTAAATGAGAGTCATGTTTTCTGACCAATCAATGTGAGCGGATGGTAAATTGCTCTGCCGCCATTAACCAATTAGAAAACGAATAGTTCGTAACCGGGCGAATCCCTCATCATGTGACTCACTCATCCACGCTGGTTTGCAGCCGTCCGCGGACATCTCCGTCACTGGTCACGTGACAGGAGAAGTCGGGAGTGAGGGGCGGGGCCGTCGGCTACGGAGGCCGAGAGGGACGCAGAGCAGGGTGGTTGCAGTCGCGCCAGGAGCAGCGATGGCTGCGGACGGTGAACGGTCCCCGCTGCTCCCCGTCGACTCCGGGGATGGAGGCGGCCTCGGCCCTGCAGGGTTGGTGGGCCCCGCGGGGCTCGTGTCGGGCCCCTCTTCGAACCCGCCCGGGAAGCCAAACCCGCCCCAGGGTGAGCCACGCCCCCTCATTAATATGCAAACGAGGCCGCTGGAAAGGGGGCTCCGGAGGAGCCGTCAAAGGAGGGTCGTCGGGGGAATGGGCCGGGAGAGCCTCCTGGGCGGGGGGCGCGGTGGTGGACCGCCCGGGGCGGGGCTTGTGCAGCGTGGGCACGGCTGTGCCCCGCCAGGAGGGTGCTACAGACCGCGGGGTGGGAGGGGATGGGTGCTCGCGCCGGCGTCAGGGTTCGGCGAATGAGTGGAGGGATGAAAGTTTGGGGAAGGAGGGTGAGGGCACATTTAGGCTTGGGAGTGTTGAGAGAACCAGCACATTAGAGATGTGGATTAGTCCGTGCAAGCTTGCAAAACCTGAGCACGAGCCTTTTCAAGATGCTGTGATGCATTGAATGGCATTTGGAGGCATTGATCCTAGCAAATATTTGTGCTTTCCCATATATGCTGCTTTGTTCTCCGCTGAAATGCTGCCTGCCCTTTCATAACCTCTTTGTTTCTCTTTGGTAAAAGCTGTCATTGCTTTGCCTGTATTGTTGTGATGCTGAGAATTTTGAGGAAATTTCTCCGGGTGCAGGGCTTTGGTGTTTATGTCTCTGTAAAGAAGAGGGATATTTTTCATTTTGCAATTCGCTCTCCTCCACTTTTTCTCCTAGCAGGCTGTCTAGCTGCTCCAGCTTCTTGGAAAGCCTCCTAGAGGACTTGGCCAGGACTTTCTGCCTCGGGTTTTCTGGCACTTCTGCCTGCTGAGTGCCTGAAAGCTGTATTTTTAGTTTTGCTTCATTTTTGTTAAAAGCCCTTTTAACAACAGCAACAAGCACAGAAAGAATAACAACTCTGTCAGCTTCCAGGCACTCGGCAGGCAGCAGCACTGGAGAGTCCCAAAGGAGGAAGCTTTCAAGCAGCTGGAGCAGCCAGAGAGATTGCAAGGACAGAACAGGGACTGAATGGTAAAGAATGCATGCACCTCTCAGCTGTCTCCTGACAGCAAAGTAAGCCACTGAAGCCCTGAAAAATGTCCATGGAATTCTCACTGCTTTCCACAATATTTGGCTGCAGTTTGTCTCCCCCTCCCACTGCCATTGAATGGTCAAAAATAAATAGATCAAACAAATCTACATAGTGTTGGTGTACTTTCACTCCTTTATCTACATTTTTCAGTGGTTTTTGGCTTAGGGTAGGACAGTGGTGAAAAAGATGACCAAGCAGAAGCTCATGGGGTGGTGGGAGGGCAGGCAGCTTGGAAGGGTTGGGGGCTGAAGCTCTGTTTCCATAAGTGTTCCCTCTCTCTCGTGCAAGGGTTTCCTTCCTTCGGTGGGGTCAACGATGCAGGCCAAGCGGCCGTGTTGCCCGGAGAGGATCCCCCACCCTACTCGCCCATGGCATCTCCAGAGAGTGGTAGCGCTCCCATGATCACTTGCCGGGTCTGCCAGAGCCCCATCAATGTGGAAGGCAAGATGCATCAGCATGTAGTGAAATGCAGTGTCTGCAACGAGGCCACGGTGAGCGCTGCTGGAAGGGCAGGCAGGGTGTGGGTGGCCGGGCCGTACGGTGCTATCCAGAGGGGAGCTTGGGGAAATGATGATGGAGAGGGTGAGCTGTGAGCCAGGAGGAGCTTCTGGGCTTCAGCCATGCCAAACCACCCCTGTAGACAAGCTGGGCAGCCTGAGGCATGCTGTTCTCTCTCTGCCTCATTTGCCCCATCGGCTCTCTGTGGTATAATTTCCGGTGATGGCAAAGCTATGGCTTTGTGTCAACCATTATGATAGTACATTGGGACCACCTGGAAAGATGGGGGAGGCCTGTTTTTCCAGGGTTGGTTCTGGAGACCCTGCTGAGCCGTGACATGTCAGCGTGACTTCCAACCCAGTGGAACCAGTGGTTTGATTTTGTGTATCGCAGCTTCCTAAAATGGACCTGAAGAGGAATTTTAGTGGGTAGCTGCATATATTTGATGATGATGATGACTTTAGCTGCAATTTTAAGGTTTCCCTGGGGTGGATATTTGGAGTTAATATCACTCCTGGTCTCTGGTTTGTGAAGTTTGTTTTTACAGTCTATTTCTAGATGCTAGAAACTGCCGTTTCTACCCTAAAAGGTGGCTGGCAAGTAATGTAAATAAATAACTTGCTGTAGCTGATGAATTTGCATTTCTTCAGCATGGGTCTCCTGGGAAAAGAAGGAAGTGAATCAAACATCTTTCCTCTCTCTTATAACACTGGAACTCAGGGTCATCTGGTGAAACTTACTAGCTGGACAAAAGTGAAATGCTGCTTCATACATCCTGCAGTTAAAGTGATGGCTCAGCCAAGTGCGAATCATTGCTTTATGGCTCAGTCCTATACATCGTTAGGCAAAAACAGACTTACAACTCTCAAAATGCCCCAGTTGGAATTATAGGCCTTTTTCTATCAAAACATTCATAGGATTGCCCCTTTTCTCTGGAGGAGGACCAGTCTGTGGATTGTTTGATAGCAATATGGGGGTTTTGGGGCCAGAGTACCCCTGAGATGGAGTTACTGGGGAGAACCAAATGTAGAGAGCTATTAGTCTTTTGGACTTGGTTGTGAGCTTCCTGGAGATGGTTGGCAACAATGGATAAATAAATGGTCACTGGGTTACCTGAACCATTTGGCCTGATCCACCAAGGCTTTGACAAGCTTGGCAGAGTAATGTGGGTCATAGGAATCCTTCCAGGATCCTTTAAAGTGGTCTGTCACCTTTACAGCTTAAAGCAGGGGTCTCAAACTCATGGCCCGCGGGCCAGTTACCGCGGTGGTGGAATACCTGATGCGGCCCAGCTTCACCCAGACTCTACTTGCAGCAGCCCCCAGGTAAGTTGAGTTTGAGACCCCTGGCTTAAAGGGATGTTGGATGGCCGTACCCATCTGTGACCTCAGTTCTGCCTGCCAGGTATCCAGTATGGCGGGGGGGGGGAATTAACTGCACCCGCACCCACCCCCTGTGACAGTGCTTGCAGTGGAGAGTAGCAGTGGCTTCTCTCAATCCAGTTCCTAGTAGATCTCAACTTGTGGTGGGTGTGAACCAAAGGGTTGTTGTAAAGCCTACTGTGATGATAATGCATATGTACTCCGTTAAATATGCAAAGTTAAATAACCCGTGGATGCAAAGTCTGGTTAAGTTGGGGACTATTCTCGGGGAACGCTAGCTTACCAGGTTTTGCTGTTCCCTGTTCATCTTTTTTAAGGCTTATGTTTACAGTGAATGTCAAAATCAAAGCCAAAACAAGAGGAAATAAAGTGAAAAAACATTTCAATGAGATTTAAGTAAATCTATTGCATACATGTTTATTAGATATCCTATCTGTGATGGATATAGTCTGTATATGAATATATTTAATAATACATTTGCTTATTCATTATAGCTAAAATAGCCCATTCAGAAAGAAAAGTTTGGCAAGACTTCCAGCCATAGAAATATTTGAGGTGGCTGTTTATTCGTTCAGTCCTGTAGCAAGAGTCTTTTAGCTGTCAAAAAGGCATGGATAAAAGGCATATATTATCCATCTATGTTGCCCTTGTTTTGATTTCCAAGGGACAACCAGATAAGAACACATGTCTCTAAAAATATTAAAGAGCTTTACATTATAAAAGTCCTCTGAATTATCACCACCTCCCAAAAGGAAGCCATTGGACATTGGTCAAACACAGAACAAGAGAAACTGTAGCCGCTTTGCATCTGCGGCAACTGCCTGATTTTATTAAGCCCTTGCTAAAGAAGTTGTGGCATCCAGTATATCCAAAACATCAGTTTTTGCTGAGTTAAATCTAACCTGTGTTATCCCACAGCATCTATACTTTGAAGTGATCCCTTCAGTCTGAAGAATTAGAGAGCACTCAGTCCGGGTGTACAAAATCTTACACAATACAACTCTTGGATGTTGCCTTCCTGCAGTAGTTGTAATCCTCATTTACGTACGCTGCAAGAGCTGAACTGATGCACTGGTCCCTGGGCGTCTTCCCAGGTTAGATGTGTTTACACACCCAGCTAAGTAGTGTTTCATTCTTTTTCCAGCATAGGTACCTGAGGTTAACTGGATGCTTAAAAAAAATCCTGGATAAACCTGTCTGACAGAAAGACCAGCACATTTATGGGTGTTTAGAACCACACCTTTGTGTTAAAGAACAAGACTATCAGGTGTTGAATTTGGGTTCATGCCTCACATTTATTATGGACTGAATAATTCTTTGCAGGGTGTCTTTCTCCCGGCCTTCCCTCTGCAAGATAATCAGCTCACAGAGTTCTCAAGGAAATGGCAGGCTTCTCTGCACCTTTCATACCACTTGCCACCAGTAATTGTTCTGCTCCCCTTGTGCCGGTATTGTCCAGTGTAGGTTCGAAGCCTGCCAGATGGAGAAGGGGCCTTGCAGGGTTGGATGCTAAAATAAGGCCCTGCATCCCAGATACCCCATGTGGCATCATGCTGAGTCCGTAGTGCTGGCAGTGCCCCCGTGGGTAATGCTGGTCCCACTTCAGGCTTCCTGGAAGTTGGTTCTTACGCAAAGTCAGACTGTGTTGATTTAGCCCAGCGTGGCCTACTCTTGAGTGGCAGCTCCTCTCAGGGACCTCTTGCAGAAAAAGGTCTCTCCTGCAACCTGCTACCGAGTCCTGCCAGCCAGGGATTGAACCGGGGACCTTCATGCGAAGTTTGGGTTTGCCACGGGGCTGTGGCCCATTTCTGAAAAGTTTATCCGGACTTTGAATCCAGAGCTTTTTGCACAAAAAGGAAGAATCATACCCTTTGACCAGAGTGAACCTTCAGGTGTTTGAGCGCATAGCTCCCACTGGGTCTCATCGCTTGCTATGCTCGTTAAGGCTAACAGCGGTTGGAGGTTAAACCACAAGGAGGGTGGCAAAGGCTAAACCAAATGACCCTGGGTGGTGAGGGGTGCTCATTTCAGAGCCTCCTTCCATATGTACTAAATAAAACCAATTCCAAAATCCCGGTTTAAAGTAAACTAGTATATCATAGGTCATAGCCTTGCCTCGTGCCAATTTGCTTTGTGCATCAGATTTTCTTGGTTATATAAGCCTTGCCTGCACGTATCCTCTGGGAAGCAGCACTGTCCAGAAATGCACCTTGATTCTTAGCTGTAGAAGGATGTGGCTGGTTTTGCATGAAACTGCAACTCACCCTGCAATTCAACTATGCACTATAGGCGGTTCTTGGAACGACCTGCAGTGAACTCGACTAATGAGCAGGTTCACCGCGAGCTGTTCTTTCCTTTCTTCTTGCTGTTCCAGCGGCCCCCGTTTGCCCCTTGCAGCACGACCCATCATGTCACCCCCGACTCACACGCATCACAAAAGTGCAGTTGGGGTTCAGAGGGGCACAAGAGCATGCTTATAGCTGTCGCTTGTCCATTTCAGCCGTCAGAAGGTTAACAGATGGACAAGGCCAGACTGCATAGAGGCAAAGTTGAAGACAGTTGACCACTGTCAGTTGGAAAGCACCTGCAAAGAGGAAAAAGTGGCAGGTGTGTGGCATTAAAACCTTCCTCTTTTTAATGTTGTTCTTTCCATTTCTGCTTTTGACGTGGCACTTTTTAATGCCGCCCACATTTCTGAACTTCCCCAAGTCTGCAGTAAGCCTTGAAAGGGGAGATCTTAAGGCCACCTCCTTTTTGCTGCACCGTTTTGGAGCTGTTGCTGTGATTTCTTGATAGCTAGCCAAAAAAAAAAAAAAAAAAAACCTTTGACAGCTGTCAAAGAAGGTGGCTGAATGGGGCAACACTGAGGGGGTAGTTCCTTTGATTTGCCCCATTAGATCACCTCTTAAGGGTTTCTTCTAACTCTCTTGGAAATTTGCACATTTTTCCGTTGCTGGGGAATATAGGAAGATGACAAGGTTGGGAAATAAATGGAAAATATAATGCCAGTTACCAATCCATTTACTTCATTTTTTTTCTTTTTGTGGGTGCTTTGCAATTGGCCACTGGGCAACTAATAGGCTAAGCTGAACAGTTGATAGCTGGATGCAATTGGCCACCTCACTCATATTGTTTGACAACTGGAGCTGGCAAGGGCATTGAGTGGACAGGACCCCATATGTGACAGTGGCAAGTGCACACCTCCAAAGACTGAGAGGGGGGATGCAAAGATATTTTTGCAAACATTTCTGGTGCAGAAGTACTTTAAAAATGGTGACAAACCAAGCGCAAGTGCCACTTGGGCATCGGTAGAGGGGCGGTCATTGCCCAGATCATGAAGCCTGGGGAGCGGGGTTTGCTTCTCTTCCTGAGCACCTCGCTAGTTGATCCCCCCGGAACCCACAATAAAATTGCCAGGGGCAAACAACATGTCAACCCATTGTGGGTGGAACAACCCCTAGAACAAGCCACGGGTTGTCAGGGTGGCTTGTTATCACAAAACAAGGTGACCTCTGGGAAGTGGTCTGGGCACAAATGACACAGCAACCCATCTTGTGGTTATTTACCCATGATGAGTTGCTGTGCCATGTGAATTCAGTCTATATATTGTATGTTCTTAACTTAAGGACAGAGTTTCTGTCTTGAATATAAAGTAATTCATTGGATTCCTCCATGCTTCAGTCCACTGTGCTTTTTCAATATCCCAAGTAATATATGCAGGTGTATTAGCATTCCTTCATCACTTTTCTTCTTGTAGTCCTTTTGAATTTGGTGGCATGGCTATTTGCTCCTTGCATAAAACACTTTGCAACTCTTTCCGTTTAGTTTGAGGTAAATCAGTGAACAATTTGACAGTGACCTGAGGCCATTTTTGATCCCCTCCACATCTGGAACAGCTGCACTGTACTTCTGTGTAACACTGGTCCTTGCTTCCCATGCAACTTTTTAAAGACCTTAGACTCAAATGTCTGGATGGTTACTCTAAAATCAGTAAGTGAGATTGCTCATTTTGTCTTTCTCACTTCCCCCACCCTAGGTCTTTCCCCACAGACCTCACTCAGCTGTTTGGGATCCTCTGTGAGGCATTCATGAAACCCTCACACACTGCCTTTCCTTTCCCAGCCCACCAAAGTCACAATTCCACAAGCTTTTCCTTCACTGATCTGACTTTTCATTTTCCTTGCAGAAGGCAACACTGCTTCTAAAAGCCTCATCTCACTTGGAATGGTTGGGGTGTCTGTGACACACGAGCAGCCTGAAGGAGCAGAACCATCATCTTGGACTGGCTTGTGCGTGCAGACCGGACCGTTTGCTCTGCTCTGCCTTCTGTGCTGCCTAGATGCCTGTTCTGACCATGGGGCTTCCAGTAATGGTATCCTTTCTCCCTTTTCTCTGCTCCAGCCAATCAAAAATGCCCCAGCGGGTAAAAAATACGTGAGGTGCCCCTGCAACTGCCTCTTGATCTGCAAGGTGACGTCACAGCGGATCGCCTGTCCTCGGACGTACTGGTAAGGGGATGGGCGGAGGGGCACTGTGACTGGGCGGTGGCCGCATTCCGCTGGACAGAGAATTGCCGCTTGCAAAAAGCCGAGCAACTCAAAAGGCACATGTTTGGAGTTAATAAGCCGATTAGGTCATGTCTGCAAACTTTGGGAGTGTTTAGCAGGGCAAATATTGTCAGAAAGCAGCTGAACACAGAGAAATAACTGTGTGGAAATACATGAAGCTGCGGCTGAAAAGAGGGAAATGGGAAGAGCGGCCCTTGCAGAATGCTGTGGTGCGTAAGCCAGGAGTGTCCTTGGGCAAGAGGGTCATACTTTGATACTGAAAGCAGTGGCGGTGTTGCTGGCCAGTGCGGTAGGACTGGGAGAGCAGGTCAAACCTGGGCCTGTTGGAGGACATTGTCTGCGTGGCAGATGGCGACAGTCTGTGCCAAGACTGGATCAGCAGCTGTATTGATCTGAAGGGCAAAGATCAATACAAAAATCTGCTTCGCGATTCAGGGGATTGCCTAGATCAGTAGTGGTGAAACCATGGCACGCGTGCCACAGCGGGCACGCAGAGACCTCTCTATTGGCACGCGAGCGAGGGCGCCCCAGCATTGCCCCAGCAGCCGAGCATTGGATAACAGCGGACACGGGGCCCATGCATATGCTCGGGAAAGAGTAGTGGCACCAGGCAATAACACCAAGAGCCGCGACTCATTAGCCATGACTCATCCAAGCTTTCGCATGGCTGCTCAGTGCGCTGCCAAGGACGGACGGACGGATATTTGCTTGGACTGGCTGTGAGTTGCTTTTTCTAAACTAAAACCTTGGTTTTCAGGTTTGATTGCAGTGTTGGCACATTGTGATAAGTAAGTGGGTTTTGGGTTGCAGTTTCGGCACTCAGTCTCTAAAAGGTTCACCATCACTGGGTTAGGGTTACAAAAATGTGCTGTCCCGGTATGATTTTGATGGCTGGGATGTCTTTAGAATGGGCAGAAATGATGAGCAGTGCAGAAAGAGCTACTCAAGGAAGGCTTTTTCAAAATCACCCTCTTTTCAATGGAACTTTAGCCCTGTATTAAGGTTAGGGGTGTGCACCAGGGTAGGGTTAGGGTTAGAAAAACGAGGTGTCCTGGAATGATTTTGATGGTTGGAATGTGTTTAGAATGGGCAGAAATGATGAGCTGCGCAGAAAAAGCTACTCAAGGAAGGCTTTTTCAAAATCTCCCTCTTTTCTATGGAACTTTAGCCCCCTATTAGGGTCAGTGGAGTGCACCAGGGTCGGGTTAGGCCAGTGGTGGCGAACCCATGGCACGCATTCCAGTGTGCCTGCAGAGCCCTCTTTGTTGGCATGTGAGCCAAGTCACCCCAGCATCACCCTACAGCCGAGCATCGGATAACAGCGCATACAGGGGTCATGCGCATGCTCGGAAAGGAGTAGTGGCGCCAGGCCATGATGTCACGTGCCGAGACTCATTAGCTGTGTCTCATCCAAGTTTTCGCCTGGCTGGTCAGTACGCTGCCAAGGATGGATGGATGGATGGATGGATATTTGCTTGGATTGGCTGTGAGTTGTTTTTTCTAAACTTAAACCTCAGTATTTAAGTTTGAGTGCAGTGTTGGCACTTTGCGATAAATAAGTGGGTTTTGGGTTGCAGTTTCGGCACTCGGTCTGTAAAAGGCTCGCCATCAGTGGCCTTGATGAAGCAAGCCCGCTTATGTGGAAGAATGACCAAGTGTACGGATCACAAAATTGAAGGAAACAAAATAAAAAAAATGAAAAAGAAGGCTCACCCTTTGGTTGCTTGTGGCCATATTGGTTCCCTGGTATGTCATGCATGCTCTGTGCCCCTCCAAAGTTGTCTGGGTGAGTGGTTCCTCCATCAGAGCTTCTCCCCAAGGACACAGCACAGGAAAAAGTTCTCTGCAGGGATATTTTATAGGCCTCTTTCCCTGCTTCAGAGGGTGTAAGAAAGACACAGGCTGACCCACTTCTTGTCCTGGGAGATCTAAACACACGAGCATGTGTATGTGTGTGTACAAAGCTGTTTGTAATGAGGACACAGTCCACAGCCAGCAGCTTCATTTCTCACAGCCAAGCAGCCCTTACCGAATTATCTAAGGGATATGACCAGGGAAGGCAGCTTCAAGGTCGTTATCTCTGGTGTTCTTCCTAACGGATGCAAGCTAAGGCCGTACGTAAGGCATGTGCAGGCCTGGGAGACTCCATCCTGCGTCCTGAATGCTGTGAAAGTGTCATATCTGTTAATAACCCCCTGACATTCTTGCAGTGTAGTCCACTCAGCACAGCAACCCAGTGGAGAGTGTCCAGGCTTCGCTGGCTGGAAGAGGCTCACAGGCAGAGTCATCTAACGTGGTTTTGCTTTCTTCCCAGCAAGAGGGTTATTAACCTGGGCCCGGTGCACCCTGGGCCTCGGAGTCCTGAGCCCCAGCCCGTTGGTGTGCGCGTCAACTGTGGGCACTGCAAGAACAACTTCCTGGTAAGGGTTTTTTTTGTGGGGGGAGGGGCGAAGGTGACGAGAAGGGGGCAGTTCTTGTTTCCCACTGTGGGTGATGTTTGATGTTTGGACAATTGCTGCCGGGCGGTGCCTCTGGACCTGAAATGTCTGTTCTTCTGAGGTCACCTCCAGAACATTGTCCTGTGGCAAACTGCTCACTGAGAGCAGTTTAGCAGGTGACGTGTCAGACTAAAATCAAGGAGGGCACACAGGGTCAAAGGTGAGCTTCACGGATCACTCAGTCCGGCGTACCCTGCAGGATTGTTGTGAACCTGAAGAGAGGAGCTGAAATATACATGCTTTGAACTGGAGAAGGGGCCAGATAAAAGTGTAATTAATCACTTAATTGGCCTACATGTGGCAGCTAAGAGGTGAGAAGATCCTTGTTGCCTTTCAGCCTTCTTTCTGAGATGGTTACGCTGTGATGTCACCCATCTGTGGCTTTAGGGGAATTCAATTTACTTGATAGTCAGGCACATCTGGGGCTGGGGAAAGGATCCTTCCTCTAGGCCTGGCTTTCCTTCATCCTTTCTCTCCCTCTCTTCCTCCAGTGGACAGAATTCACAGACCGCACCTTAGCCCGATGTCCGCACTGCCGTAAAGTGTAAGTGATCTTGCTCCTCCTTAACCAGAAAGGCTGCCCTGGGATTTGCCCAGGGAGGCAGCACAAACAGAGGAACCGAGGGTCTGAGACGCTGCCTTGGGCGTGCCCTGCACTAGTTGCTGGGTTGGTGCAGGAGGGAGGAGGATGCTAGCTCTGCTTCTCCAGCCCAGATAAAAGGATGTGGGTCCCATGGGTTGCTGCCGCCGGAGTCTGAGTGGCCAGGGCCATGATCCACTACCTCCCCGAGAGCTCATTCCTCCCTTGACCCCCGGGAGTAGAGGCACTGCAGCGGGGTGGATCTGAAAGAGTCTGATGGACTTCTGCTGTCCTCCTTCCTCCCACAGCTCCTCCATTGGGCGCCGCTACCCCCGAAAGAGATGCTTCTGCTGCTTCCTGTTAGGTGTCCTAATGGCTGTGACAGCAACGGGGCTTGCGGTGAGTATGCGCGGGGCATGGGGGGGGGGAGTCACAGTCCAGGCATTGGCACCCGCCGCCTGGCCTTGGAGCACTTGGGTTCTTCCCCTCCCAGGCCAAAAGAGCTAGAATCTGTGCAAAGGTCTAAAGCTAGCGCTGCACACCCTCGCTCAGTCCACGGAGGGCTTAACAGCCCTGCCTCTTTTAGCGTGCAGCTGCTCCTTCCAATAACTGAGAGATTTTTGCCATTTTAACAGCGAGGAGAACGGTTGGGAGAACAGGGCGAGCAGGCATGGCCATCTGGGATGCTTGAAGGGCCGGATTTGGCCTCTGGCCCAGGGGTTCTGCATCCCTGTGCTAGAGCAACATCACTCTGCATCCTTCTGGTCTTGTGGTTGTGCACATTTTGAGGCTGTCGGTCCCTCCAAACTTTTTCTGTATGAGTACAACAGCCGCATCCCACAGCTGGCTGGGTATTGGGGCTGGGGGCACAGACAGCAGGGTTAAGTTTACATTTGGATCTCTGGATTCCAAATCCACTTTAATCCGTTTGCAAGCTGCTGTTTTCTCATTACAACAAACTCCCTATCAGGAAACAGAATAAACAGAATAACTTTTCTGGGTTTCACAAGCTTTTTATGAGCAGAGTATGGCTTTAGAACTTCTCTCTAAATTCTTCTCTGTATGGTTTGTGGTACCCCCTGCAGAAACAAATAGAATTATGCCGCTGCCTCAGATTTATTTATTTATTTTTTAAGAGAAGGTAGAAATTGCAATCCAGCCTTCTGGAAGGTGTCAGGTGGAAGGCAGCTACATGCAAATAGAAAAGTTTTCTTTCCAGCTGCTGTTGAGTTTCCCTTCAAAGGCCACACTGCCGGGGAATGCTGGGGAGTGCCATCTGGGACGTCTGGGAGGCACCGGGTTGGAAGTTCCCGTCGACCACGAGATGGGTCTGCTCGGCATCGGGATGTGTTTAGCACTGCCCAGTGAGCGACCTGCTTCATTTATCCCTGGGTGGTTCCTCCTCCTCCTCTTTTGCAGCAACTGCCCTAAGCAACTTTCACAGCCATGCAGGTGTACAGGGAGACATCCCCGCGTGCTGACGCCTCTCTCCTCCTGTCTCTTTAGTTCGGCACCTGGAAGAAAGCTCAGCAGTACGGTGGCATCTACGCAGCTTGGGCGCTCGTGATCTTTTTGGCTTTGGTCTGCCTTGGCAGAGCGACGTACTGGGCCTGCATGAGGGTCAGCCACCCCGTCCAGAACTTCTCCTGAGCGCCCCCGCAGTTCCAGCTGCTGCTGCTCCCAGCACATCACATGCCAAGACCTAGCCCTGCCTGCCCCCCGTTTTTTTTTTCTTGTGTCTCCACTTCAGGGCTGGCACCGTCCGTGCCCCTTTCCCACTGTGCCAAGCATCCCACGTTGTCATCTCCACGGCTGCTGCAGTCCCTGCCTGCGAGGTGGGCCGGGGTGGCGTTGAAACCTACCGGCTGGGATCCCAAAGAACTCTGAACGCGGAAACCGGGGGCTACCCCAGTGCTGGCAGAGCTCCTGCTGAAGCGCAGAGGCAGCAAAAACCCGACGGGACCAATTCCAAGAGGAGCTTGGGTGTGCCTGGTTGTACTGGGGCCAAGAAATCGGTGCTGGTTTGTGGCTTAGTGCTTCTTTCCTGGGGGAGACGTGGAAACCACGGTGACTGTGCTGGGGTCTGTGCACAACAGGGGACAGGAGGTACAAGACAGGTGCTTAGCTGGAGAGGGGTCAGTCCCAAATGGAAATCCCTACTGTGATGAGCTTGACTCTTTGTGGATACACTACAATGATTCAGCTGGGATACTTGACAAGGTGATGCCGTACGATTTGTTAGCGGTTCCTACTTCTACGTTCCTGGCCGGAGCTGAAGGCAAAATGAGCTCCAAGGGCTCACCGCTGCATCGATTCGTTCTCTTCTCAGTTTCTTGCACATGCTTTGTGATTTGAGGCAGCTGTCGAGATGGCTGAAGCTTTGCGAGTTGAGGCATCTTGTACATTCCTTCCATGGTGAGTTGGAGCAAGACGTGTCGGAAATTAACATACCGTTTGCTGGTTCTTAGAGAACGCCGTCACTTGACTGCCCGTAACCATGCACTGTGACCTCTGGCGCTCTGACTCCTCTCCCAGTTCTGGGTTTCTCCCATCCAAAAAACTCTTGCCACTTAACGCGTATGGAGTTGACCTCTGTGTCCCATCCCACCTGTTCCGTGACCAGCAACTGTCCCAAAATCCAAAAGAATCCAAGGTTCTCTGAGAACTTTTCTCTCCAGGGACTTTTTTGTTTGCTTTTATTTCCCTCTGTCCTCCTTTCTTTGCCAGGTCCCTGGTGAAGGAACCTTCCCTTGCACCCAGCAAAAACCAAAATTTTTCTTAGACATTTGGATGAGGGACCAATGCCACTGATTTGGACATGCCTTGAAATCCACTGTGCCCTGAGACTGCTGAGCTTAAACCCACATATGCTGGGGTTGAATTTCCTTTCCCTTCCCTGTCGGTGGTTTGACACTGGACAACCAAGCCCTTTCCACTCTCAAATTGTCAACTTGTCTGTGCCTGGCTTCTACAACTTGGAACCCTCCAAATCTGTTGGACTACAGCTCCTATCACCCCCAGTGATGGGAGTTGTACTCAGCATGCCAGGAGGAAGGCCAGGTTGGGGAAAAAGTCTGCTTTTCCTTTCCAGCTTGATTTTGGCCTTCATTTTAGTCTCTGCTGTTTTTTTCCTTCCTCCTCCCCTGGAGATGCTACATGGTTTAAACCTGTCCTTTGCCTCAACCATTTGAAGTCTGCGTGAGATGCTTACGGTACAGAAACTCGCCTCTGCTGTAAGGTGCATAAGGAGGGGCATCCTGGCAGGAAGTATGCTGGTGACTGGAAATCTCTCTTCACAGCCTTTCCTATAAGTCTGTCTGGGCCTTTATCAGTGGGGTGGCAAGCCCTCAGCTTCAGCCCCTGCCTCTACTTCTTTCTGAACCCCCTGGCTTTGAGCTTGTAGCCTCGAATGTGTTGCAGCTGCAGCTTGTATATAAAGATGCTCTGTGTGTAAATAGCGCTATTTAAACTCCCTCTCCCCTGTGGTGGCTTGCCTGCCTGCCTGCCTGTGTCCTTTGGCCTGGGTGCCTGTACTTTCTCCTGTCTCCCCCCTTTCTTCAGTCATAATGAAACGTGTCTGCTACCTTCTTCCTTTTCCCCACAGCCAAAGGAGGAACAAAGAAATGACTGGCTGGTTGTAAATAAAGTAGATATTCCATACACTGACCCGAGTTTTTGGGGGACGAGATAACGTCATGATTTTTGTTTTGCAGTGTGCCTTGGGTCTTACTACAGAAATGACACCTGTACATTCTACACAGGTCACATCCCTTTCTAAACTGTCTCAATAGGTTTCGGGCACTTGTGACTTCATCCTTTTCCCACTGAATATCTTGTTCTCTTCACTCCTCAGAGTCTGATGTGGGGCTATTTTGGGGGGCCTGGGGTAGAAGATCTAATTGATATCCCTCTAGTCTGCCTATTTCGAACTGCTGGTCTTCCTAGCCCAGCACTGGCTGGGAGCAGCTGCTGTGTGAGGCGCTCTCACACAGAAGTGCCACCTTTTAACCCCCCGCATGCCAGTCACTGTTCTGTCCCCCAGTGCCTGCTCTCCTCGAGGATGGGGTCACAGTCCGTTCAGGAGCGCTGGCACAGACTGCTTGCGGTTTGGTTCCCTGCATCTGCTGCTTGATGTGAATCCCTCTTCCTTCTGCAGCCATGGCTTGGGAAGGAGGTGATTTGGAGAGAGAGGCCACCAGGGACCCCTCCTGACTGGGAGCAGGGCCAAGTGTTTAAAATGCATCTGGGGGAGCTCCTTAAGGAGTTGCACTGTGGCGAGTATCGCAGAGACCAATCTGCTTTGCCGGGGAATTTTCAGCCTCCTGCCAAAGGAATTGCAGTATCTTGCAGCAAGTTGATGGCTCAGCGGAGAAGGAAGTAGCAGTTGGGCAACGGGGAGCTCTCCTGAGCCACACCGAGGATGTGCGAATGGGTGCAGAAGCCTGCCTTGTGCATTCCAAAGACGATTCTGGGTCAGGCTTTTTCATGAAGCTTAGTCCAGAGAAACGAGCAAGGCATCCTAGTCCTTTCGGCAGCAGCGATTCCCACTGCTGCCCTGCCCCACCCCACCCCACCCCACCCCACCCCACCCCTATAGTGCCTATTTTGCCTGAGTCCAGTGATGTTAGAGGGAAGGCAACATGCCAAGAGCTGGCAGAATGGCAGCTTAACACACCTCGAAGGCACCAGGCTGGGTGGAACTCCTTGTAGGAGAGACTCACCTGAAAGGAAGCCAAACCCAAATTCCTGGTGGAGAGAACAGTTTTGCTTCACCCAAGGAGAGACTAGCATCTTAAAGCAGGCTTGTGGTGCAGTCCTGTGAACACTTCCGGGATGCAGCGGAGGTGGCGCCCAGCTATTCAAGAGGATAGGTAAGCATTAGAGTGAAGAAGCAGGTGCTTTCGAGAAGACCAGCCCGACTTCAATGCACAGTGGAGCGTGAAAGGAAGTAGCCCTAAATGCTCTGATTTTCCGGGCAGTAGGGAAATCATCTTTCTGAGAAGCTGAGTTAACCTCCTTCACAGGGTCACTATGAGGATTCAACGGGCATGGAAGAAACTGCTTGGCCTCCTGGCCACTTAAGAGTAGATTTTTAAAACAATATAGAGTCCTGCTGAAAGTCTAGTGGCTCTGCACCGAGAATGAAGTTCTTCAAGAAAAAAACATCAGTGTTCTCGAGAGTATTTTTTTAAAAGGGAAGTTTAATGTACTTACTAAATGGTTACAACTCGGAGGACCACAGCTTTGAAAGAGCAGAAAGCAGGGACAGGGCAGAGTGTGGAAGGAGGAAGGCTGATTCAAAGGAGAAATGGTTGCTTGGAGGAGAAAAGCGGGCAAGATGGACAGTTACAGGGGTATCAGGCAGGGTTGGAAGAAGAGGGCACACACCTTTCCCCTAAAATCCCCCTTTTGAGAACACCCGTGCATAGAGTTGCCAGCAGCGAACCGGAAACCCCACCTGTTTTAACAGCCCCGACGGCAAGGAAAGAAAGGGGGAGCAATATGGCTTGTCTACATGGGTCTGTTCTACTCTGGAATGAAACTCGCTTGCTGGAACAGGCTGGGGAGAGCGGGGGGGACAAGCTATTTTGCTAGCCCAGACTGGCCTTGGAAAATCGCAAGAGGCGATTTCTCGTGTCAGAAGCTGGCTATGTTGCACCAACTGTTCCCTACAAAGGGGGCAAAACACAAATTCCAACCCCTCCCCTAAAGGCACATGCCAGCGACATGCCTGCCCCTATGTTTGCATACGGTAGAAAAGAGATGTCACGTTTCCTCCAGCCACCTCTGACCACCCCCAAAGGTGGCCATGGGGTGGGGCGGCGGAAAGACCACCCTCCCTCCCTCCCCGTGTGCCACATCACACGGCCATGTACAGGGTGATGGGACAGTGGTCGCTCCCCAGGGCCGTGGAGCGGATCTTGCTGTCGCAGAGGCTGTCCAGCAGATCCTGGGAGACCACGAAGTAGTCAAGGCGCCAGCCCACGTTCTTGGCCCGGGCGTTCATCATGTAGGTCCAGAAGGTGTAGGCGTAGGCCGTGTCGGGGTACAGGTGCCGGAAGGTGTCGACGAAGCCGGCTTCCAGCAGCTTGCTGAAGCCGGCGCGCTCCTCGGGGGTGAAGCCCGCGTTCTTCTTGTTGCCCTTGGGGTTCTTCAGGTCGATCTCTCCATGTGCCACGTTGAGGTCGCCGCACAGGATGAGGGGCTTGCGGGCGGCCAAGCCTTGCAGGTAAGAGCGGAAGGCCGTGTCCCAGCGCTGGCGGTACTCCAGGCGCACCAGCCCCCGGCCGGCGTTGGGCACGTAGGCCGTCACCAGGAAGTAGGAGGGGAACTCGGCCGTGATCACACGGCCCTCCTTGTCATGCTCCTCCTCCCCTGTGGGGGGAAGAAAACCGACAACGGGATCAGGAACTGGTCCCAGGACATGGGTGAGAAGGTTGTTTCGGCTTCTTTTTCAGGATTTGCCAGCGTTTGCAACGTTCTCCATATTTGGGGCAAAAAGCTTGAGACTAAAATAAAATCCAGCATGGGAGGCATGGAACGCTCTGTCAATCCAGACTTGGAGCTTTTAGTCAAGAAGGCTGTGGGATCTATTGCTTCCACTTCTTTGCTGATAATTTCTAAACCTTAATAGCTACAGGCTGGGAGGGGCCAGCATGGCCCCCTCCCTCCTGGAAATAGTTGTATGTTCTGAATGTGGGCAATCCATACACAAATTTCTTTTGAGTTCATTTTTAACAAGAATGCTCCAACACTTGCAAACAGGAGACATCTTAATGTCAGATCTTAACATTTCAAATGCTGGAGAAAGTGAAGTTTAACACCTCTCCCACTGCCCAGTTACAGTTCCAAATCTGAGTTGCCCCCTCCCCAGTTTGCATGTCACAGATATCAGCCACGAGCAAGGCTGTCCCCACCTTCAACAGAAGCGATCTGGCTCAGTTCCACACTGTTCCCACCAACCCATCATTTCCACAGGAAAAAGCTGCGCTCTTGCCAGAAATGACTTTCCGGGCAGCCTCCATTCACTAACTTTGGCACAAACACTACACAGCCCTCTAGCCAAACTCGCCCACTCACATACCCAAGGCCTGCCCAAGTAGAGCGGTTGTGTTTGCTGGTACGAAGAGGAGGTAAACAGAGCCTTCCTTGGCAATGAGATCCACCACCAGAAGGGCCGCTGACCAAGCCGCCTTTGTGTTTCCGCTGGCCAAGTCAGCCATCTCGAAGAAGGGCCCTTTGTGAGAGCCGGCTCAGTGGGAGCATGTGGCCCTTCAGCCAGCCTGCCCCCAGGCCGAGTTGCACTGTGCAGAGCAGATCAGAAGCCCGGGAAAGTGGCACCAGCAGTGGGGATTGGGAGTCCTTACCGATGCCGTACGCCACATGGTCGGGCTTGCGCTTCGAGAGCAGGGCCACACCGCTGTAGCCTTCCTTGTCGTCAGAGCAGGCCCAGTACTTGTGGGGGTATTCAGCCAGGTCCCGGATTTCTGCAGGAAGCTGCTTTTCTGCACACTTGGTTTCCTGAAGGCAGAGGACATCGGGGTTCTCCTCGGACAACCACTGCAGGGAGATACGACTTTGGATCAGGCCCTCTCACTCGTTGCAAATCAGAAAAACGGGATGTCGGCATTTACTGCAGGACAAACAGCACAAAGCTGATAGAAGTTAATTTGGTCTGTTGGCAGAAGTGGCCAAAGGTATACCGTGCACGGCCTGGCGGTTAGGGTGTTGGGAAAAGACCATGGAGACCTGGGTTCAACTCTTCCCCTGCTACAGAGCTCCCTGGTGGCAGGTTGCTGAGGTGAAGGTAGAAAACTCTTTGCTTGCTTAGCAGCCTTCCCTCAAGCCCCTGACGGCAGCTGATAATTAGAAAACAAAGGCTCAGGCTGGGAAATGTACAACTCAAAAGGGAACCAGAAGGGAAGACAAGAAGCAAACGCAGGTTCCAGCTCTCATGTTACACAATCCACTAAATCAACAGCGAGCACCGCACAGTAGCTGAGAACCTGCTCTGCCTGCAAAAGGTCTCTGGTTCGCTCCCCGGCATCTCCAGACAGGGCTGGGAAAGGTTTGCCTCCCGAGGCCACAAGGAAGTACCGCCACTTCATTCAGATGGACCACAGCGAGACAGACTAGTCATCTGCCCAGTAGAGAAAGCCCAGTGCCCACGTTCCTGTGTTCCTGCTGAGAAAGGGAAGGAGCAAGGGGCAGCTGGTCACAGGCACGGCGGCACTGGGGGTGAGGTGCACCCACGGCCAGCTTCAGAATCTGTCTAATCCCTTGGAAAGCCACCAGGAGTGGGTCACGCCAGCTATCGCCCTGGAGCCCCCAGAGCTGACTGTGACAGTCCCCCCCGAGCTGTGTGCAGCCCCAGATGTACAGTGTTCCTTTCCTCCATGGCATTAGTCTTCTAATTGCTCAGCAGGTTGCCATAATGAAGTAAAACGTGAGATCACATAGCTGTAAACTCAAAGCCGACGTGATGGACTCTCCCCATGCCCAGTCATCACAGCCATGGTGGGAGTTCCAGTCCAACGCAGACGGAAGGGCCCAGGACTGGAACGAGTGCTGCAGAAAATGAAGGGGGTGGGCGGCTCTAGGTCCGGCATAGCTACCCCCAAGTGCCTGCTGAAGCTATCCAGGTATGGCAGCGATTCTCTCAACATGGAAGAGCTAAGCTAAAGCACCTGTGAATTTTTGGTTTAAAAGCAGGGGGAAGACTGCAAAGTGATGCACAGCAGGGGAAAAGGGGAGACGGCCAACGGCTTTCCCCATCTTCTCATCCCAAGAAATTGACTAGTCTGCAAATTCAGGATAAATGAATGGAAGGCTTTCTTTCCATTGCTCGTACAACTGGAGTCTGAAGCTCACAGCCTCCAGAAATGGCAAGCGCTTCTAAGAAGGCTTTGAAAAGGAAAGAAACAAAGGGGAGCAGGCCAACGTACTGCATTTGCAGTTCTATTTCTAGTCAACTTATCCCACAGGTGGCATAATTTCACCTTCAGAACAACCCTGTGATGGAGGCTCAGCTGCAAGAGGGCGATTGTCTCAAAGATCCCCTTTGAACTGCCTGAAAAAGTGGGGGTTTGAATCTGCTTCTTCCAGAAGGGGATTTCTCTGGCCTAAGGGCCAAATCCAGCTGCAGCTTTACTCCAGCTAAACTCCTTTGGTGCTTTCTGATCTCTTTTGCTTTTTTAAAAATCATGTCAAAATTCTGCTGCTAAGGCTTAGCCACTGATCCACTAAAATATGCCTGGCTTTTTGACTAACCATACCACTACAGGAACTCCTAAATGGAATTGATCCTTGCCTGCCACTGAAAATGTATATTTAATTTATATTGTTTTATAGGATTCTATTTATTTATGGTTGTGAGCCGCCCCAAGGCTTCGGCGAATGGGGTGGCACAGAAGTTCCCCTAATAATAATAAATAATAATAAAATGGCCCACTTCTTCTGGAACACAGAACGTGCCCCTTGCGCTTGATGAGGGACAACCGCCTTGTCCAATACTCTGACTGCTGTGCTACACACGTAGCTCCAAAGGCTAAACAGAGCCTCCATGTTTCAAGACAGTGTATCTCTGAAGATGAGCTGCTAAGGGTGGGAAGCAACTATTGCATCCTGGTTGGAACAACTGACTGGCCGTTTCAGAATCAGTGGTGCTGGTTACCTCCAGGCCTTTCTTCTTGAACCAGGCTCGGATCCCATCTACGTTCCAGGAAGTGACCTTCAATGTGTATTTCTTGCCGCTAGGAGAGGTGAGTTTATCAGGAGGATCCTGATACATGATCGGGCCATCAGCTTCCTTCCCGGCTTTTGTTTCACCTTTCTTAGCCTTCTTGGGCTCTGGTTCTAACAGAAAGAAAGACAGCACGCACGTGAAAATGCAGGATCAGTAGCAAAAGCCTTTTCCAAGTCAGAGAATGACGTTCTGTGTAGGCATGTAAGTGGCTTCCCCCTGGTGAGGCAGAGTGATCCACATCCAACCAGGAAGCAAGGTTAATAAGACATGAATATAATCTTCTGTCGCTTCCACATAGCCTGAAGTGCCTGATCCTGCCAGATCCTGCCATCTTGGAAGCTAAGCAGAGGTGGGCCTGGTTGAAATCTGGATAGGGGACCTTAAATGTTCTGAACCACCCAGAGAGCTTTGGCTACAGGCAGTATAGATATGTAACAACAACAACAACAGTCTACTTCTTTGACTTAAATAGGTTTGCTAGGCTGATTAAGGGTGACTTTAGGGAAGGGAGAGAGAGGTAGCAAAGGCAACGATGTCCAGCAGAGAGGAGAACTCAGTAGGTGGAAGGAGGCACAACAGCTTAACATGTGGATGCTCTCAGTCCCCAGTTGATTCCACCATTTTCGGCATGCCTGAGACACTCACCTGCTGCTTCCTTCTCCTCTGGGATGGCTCCATCTTCTTTCTTCTTCCCTCGCTTGGGCATCTCAAGTCCCCACCTGGGTGCTACCCTAAGCAGCTGGTAGGTCGGGATTGCAGGCCGCAGGCTCCTGAGCAGCAACGTCTCCTGGGGAGGGAGAAGTATGACTGCAATCACCTGCACCCCATCCCATAATATCCCATTCAAGGACGACTGCCCTGGCAGTATCACAGAAAACAGCATCTGCACCCACCTTCCCGTTCCATAAAAGCAGCCTCCGACCTTCCCCAGCTCTGCACCCTCCTGATGCGTTGGACTGCAATTCCAAGACCGTTGGCTATGTTGGCTGGGAATGATGGGTGTTGCAATCCAAAACATCTGGAGGGGGGCAGTTTAGGGATAGCCAACCTGCTCCTTCCTGTACCAACTCTGGGACCCCTGCAGGTGTGACTGTAATTTCCTGATCAGAATTCCCCTTCCTGAGCTATATAAAACTTCCATTATCAAACCTGAAGTAAGATGAGACCACTGCCAAAATCTGCTCCTGATATCAATCCTGGCAGGTGGTGAGCCCTTAGGGAAAGGGGTCTTTCCCTGCCTCATCCTCCACGGGTTGAACAATTGACCACTACCCTTAAAAGCCTTTCCTAAAGAAACGGTTCCACAAGAAAGGGCCACTTCCTCAGTGCAGAAGCAAAGCGCATGAGATAGTGGCATGTGTAAAAAGCGTGCAATCCGATGCATGTTTTCAGAACGAGTCCAGCATCCCTCCACATTTCCCAGCCAGCCATGTTGGCTGAGGAATGCTGGGAACTGTAGGACTTTTTTCCTCTTGAAACACGCACGAGATTCTGCCTTACATATCCTGGCTCATCACAAACCGAATGTATTCGTGGTTTGTGATTTTTGGGAATTGGCTAGGGGGAGGTATAAAAATGAAATTAATGGTAATTAATTATAATGAACCAACGCACCACACTTCGTGCTGAGCACCCCCCTCGATCATTTGCCCCGCATCCGCGCCAGCTAATCTACGGATCCATCGCTTTTGGGAATAAAATCCGGCTGTTGCTTTCCCTCTGAATCATGCCGAGTGAGGGGCGTCGCCAGCCCGCCCAATGCCTGCCTGCCGCGCAAAGTCGTTTTCTGGGGGTGGGGGAAGAAGAGTGGCAGCGCTAAGCTGCAATCACGGGCCGAGGCTGCTCCTGTGGAATTTCTGCCTGCCGCGCAACTTTTAAAGGCGCCGGAGGGGGAGGGGGGAGGGCAAAAAGGAAGAGACGCAACCTCATCTCGCGCTCCGTTCTGCACAGATGGAAGGCCAAGAGCTCCTTTCATCTTTGCACTCGTAACTCAATTAAAAAAAGAGCGAGCGGGCCATCTCGCCTGAAGCTGTTTTGCTGCTGCCGCCGCCGCCGCCCTTACCGCAGCACGCCGCTAACGCGCCCTGGAGACAATGACGGAGGCTCCGGAATTCACCCACGAGCAGAATAGAATGGAGAGAGAAAGAAGCACGTGGAGTGGATTTGTGTCACGTGGTGCGGGTGGGCGGGGCGAGGTGACTGATCACGTGCAGAGGGAGGGCCCTACGTTAAAGTTGCAGGGAGAACATGTTGCGGTTTCCGGCGGTAGTTCTAGGACAGTTAAGCAAGGAAGGGGTTAAAGAGAGGGAAGCGTGCGAGCCCCTCCCCATCACGTGGAGAGGGAGTTTGGCGCGGACGGGGTGGGGGAATTCTCTCTTGCCAAAGGGGGTCTGCACGTTCAGTGAAGCTTTGGCTGGGTCAACACTTTCGGTTCTAGTGCCGACCGCCACAAAGGAAAAGGAGAGCAGGGTACCGCAGAGTGGGAGAGGGACGTGAGGGTGAGAGTGGCCCCGTTTTCCCCCCTTGCATTCATAGAGATAGGAAAAAACCTTAAAATCCTTTTTTGTTTCTATGTTTGACTTATTATCTTTCTCCTCACAGGTTGACTGCTGAATGATAACCCGAAGTGGTGGTTGCAGGTAGCGCTTCTCTTTTTCGCTCTCTAGACCCTCCCCCTTTTTTCCGATTAGCAAGATTCCCTCCCCTGCTCCAAGTGGCCGTTTCTCCCCTTTCCAATGATTATTGTTATTAATATTATGATAATGAAGAGCATCGCGGGCTGATGGGCGCAAGATACCTGGAGTAGCAAATTTGGGAGGGGCGGAACCCGCAGCACAGCCGGGACACGCAGTGGGAGACCTGCAGAGGTGGGGCCCCCAAGCCAGGCTTCCCCTCCCTGGTGCCGTCCTGATGTCTAGAACTACTACTCCCATAAGCCCCAGCTAGCATGCGCGATGCAGGGATGGTGGGAGTTGGCGTCAAAAAAGTTTTGATGCCACCGGGTTGGGGAAGGCTGCCCTAAGCATGAGCAACCCTGCGCCCTCTTCCGCCCCTGGCAGACGAGGTGGGTCGTAAGGCGTTGGCTGTGCAATGTACAGCGCCTCGCACATGGCACTCAGCAAATGGGGGTTAACTATGTTAATCCACTTTGAGCCGATCCCCTGAAAGGACTGGCACTTAAGTCTCATCCTTGCAGTGGGTTGACTCACTGTATGGCTATCCTTGGATGCAAACCAGCGTTGCCTAGCAATTCTAGAGGACCGGGATCCCCCGCACGTGCTGCATTCACAGGTGCAGCTTCTCTTCTCTCCTGCATAGGGAGAGATACCTGGGATCACTCGAAAGCCAGGGATACCTGCCTTTCGAGTGCTTTTTCTGTGGTCCCAACAAAATTTGCTCCTTTCTCTTCCAAATCGCTGACAACGTCATGGATGTCATTAGAGGCATGACGGGATAGAGCCTCTGATCCGTGTTCACACAGAGTTAGGCATTATGGTCGGTCTAGATTGCTTACAATGGGATACATGGACTTGATCTTTCCCTTCACAGGTCAGGCAGTGGCATTCTGTTTCTGCCAGGGGATCAGAGCTTTTTCTCTCTCCCTGTTGCTCCAGGAGGCGATGCCTGTTGTGATCGGCTTTGAGGGCAGTGCCAACAAAATTGGAGTGGGGATTGTGCGGGATGGAGAGGTGTTGAGCAACCCCCGGCGGACATATGTCACCCCTCCAGGGCAGGGTAAGTATCCTATGCATCAAATGCGCCTTGCTGAAAAAAAAGAAACATTCCATGTTCAGTCCAAATTGCATGCAAAGAGAAGCAGGACTGTAAATGGAACATCTCTGCATGGTTTCATTTGCATAATTTAGTCTGGTTTGGCTAGTTATGGGATGGTCTGCTTGCTTTGCAGAAAGTCAAACCCAGCCTCCAACCCCTTAGATTTCATTTTGCTTCCAGGATTTCAGTAGGTGGTCCCCATTTTCATGTACCACTTCCAACCATAAGGCCTAGAAACATTGCACTTTTTTGCAGAAATCTCTGATTTGCAAGAAGCTGAATTTTGTGCTTATTCACACCTTTGTGCTCAGTATAAACAGCCAGTCCAAGCATATCCCTCCCCTCCTTCCAGTTTCTCCACATTTTTGCCTACAGCATGTCTTCCATGTCATTAGAGGTCTACATTACAGCTTACGATTCAACTGTATGAACATTCTCCATGTTTTTTCTTCTGTTGCCATTTGTGTGTGTGAGAGAGAAAAAGGGACATATAGAGAAGAGAAGGCATGCTCCTACTTAAAAGCATTACTTTTCTCCATTACTTTTGTCCTGTTTTAGGTTTCCTACCGGGGGACACAGCACGTCACCACCGCTCTTGTATCCTTGCTGTCCTGCAGGAGGCGCTACGTGAGGCTGGACTGAAACCACAGGACATTGATGCTGTGGCATTCACTAAAGGTGGGTCCCTTGGGTGCCCCCTTACATCAGATGATGGGAAGTGTTTTGAAAGCACAATTTTCTTCTTCAAGGAGATGTTTTGGCTGGTGACCCGTGCAGTTCTTTAAGGGCAAGAAAACTTTACATATTCAGCTGTAAACCCTCACAAAACCAAGATACCAATACAAAATAAAACAGCATCAATAACAGCTATGAGAAAATCAGCTGGGCACAAACTTTCAAAATATACCCAACTGGTCATTAAAATAATGTTTTGCACAGGCTGGAAAGGGGTTTTTGCTGCTGCAAGGCCAAATAAAGTCATCTTTTCAGCTCAGTTTAATTTAGATGCATAGTTGTTAAGAAGGAGCTTGATAGAAGGTTAAAACGGAGACATGTTTCTCCATCTCTAAGACATTTTAGAACTTGGGGTCATCCTATAACAGTAATTGTCAGCAGATACTGGACAAATGAAAGAGTATACCTTTCAGCTCATGCACGATGGGTGGAGTTTGCTATAATTAGCATAGAAGTAGCTTTAAAAGGGGATGAGGCATATTTATAGAGAGTAATTTGTCAATGGCTGATTGCTACAATAACCAGGAACAGCGCCTCCAGCTTGAAGGAGAGTAGCTGATACGGAGTGACCATTGCCTTCCCATTTTGCTGTCTTCGAATGTCTATCATGCCAAAGCCGGCGCATCCCTGTTTTCTCTGCAGCAGAGAAATTAGAGCCACTGCACAGAAATTTCAGGGAAACTGAGTTTGGTTAGACATCAGGAGGAACTTCTAGATGGGAAGAGATGATCCTCAATGGAAAAAATGCCATCGAAGCTGGAGGTCTTCCTTCAGGCCCCTTGGAGGCCCACTCTGGTCTCTCAGGTTTTCTGTAAATTACCGTGTTCCCTTCTGATTTCCCCCAACTGCCAAATGTTTGATAGTTCCCAGTTTTGCGTGTTTTTTCCCTCCTCTTTGCCAAAGGCCGAAATGCCACTCCAGAGGCAATAAGAGCTTAACAATAAAATATTTTGGTATTTTGGCTCTTCCCCCTTTTTAACTCCACTGGCTATGGAAAGGCAGCCCTCCCAGAGCATCCCTGAAACTTCATTTGGTTTCAAAAGGTTGGACTGGAGGAACCCCAAGATACCTTCCAGTTCTGTGCCTGGTGAACTTTGCATCAGCTGACCCGCGTTGTAAACAGACTTCAGGATGAGGAAGAGCTTTGATCCGAGAGGGCTGCATTCTCCAAGCCGTAATGCCTTGTTCTCCTGCTTTAAGCTTCTTTCCCTCCTCATCAGGTCCAGGCATGGGTGCCCCACTGGTGACGGTGGCGGTCGTGGCCCGAACGGTGGCCCAGTTGTGGGGGAAACCTCTCCTGGGGGTGAATCACTGTGTGGGGCACATTGAGATGGGGCGGCTAGTGACCGGTGCCCAGAACCCGACAGTGCTGTACGTCAGCGGCGGAAACACTCAGGTGAGAGCAGAGCCTTGTTCCGTGCTGCAGCCTTCCCTCTGCGGAGAGTCTCTTGTGCTTGCCACTGTTCCTGGAAACCAGCATATTTTAAGGGATCTCATTCTGTGGTTTTTGCAGCTGAGCCCCCTTTAAATCTTTTTATGGCATAGGAGCTTCCTGGCCATTTCACATTATTTTATTTAAATCTTTTTTAGACCACCCCTTACTGAAGTCTCAGGACAGTTTAACAGTAAGACAAAAAATAAAATGAAACGCAGCATCCCAATGCATCTCCATGATCCCAGTGGAGTCTCGTTATGTTTCAGATGTTGCAGCAGAACAATAATTTTTGTGTATTTATTTAAAAGATGAGCCAAGGTTGGGCAAAGTCAGCACATGGCTTCTTTCTCTGTTTGGCTGTAATAATCCAGGATTAAATGGGCCCATGGTATGAAATATAAGAAACATGAGTGTTTTTATGCTGTCTTCTGCTACCAGCAAATGCCTAATAAATAGATACTTGGTATGCCTTTCTTGAAGCTTATGCGTTACTGTGTTTAACAATAGCTGGATTTGTGTATATGTATATATGTTTGTAGGTACGCATTTCATATGCACCTTTTGTAAGCAATTCCTTTCAATGTATGCAATAAAATTGCATTATTTTCTTATGGCTTTGTTTTGTTTTGATGAACTTCCTAATAAAAGTGAATTGGAAAAGAACTCGTATCTTCTCTCCCACCAGGTCATTGCATACTCTGAACGCCGATACCGAATATTTGGGGAAACCATTGACATTGCTGTGGGGAACTGCCTGGATCGCTTTGCCCGAGTGCTGAAGGTAAGCAGCTGAGAAGGGATTGGCAAAAATACCAAAAAATATCTAGGAGGAATTCTAAAGAAGCAGAGAACCTCTCCCTCCAGCCAATGAAAACTGAGTGGAATATTGGGAAGAGCAGGGGGAACTTTGGGCTGGGGAGGAGAACGGAATGGAACAGAACAGAATGTTCTGGAACTGGGCGTTGCTGGCTGGAAGCATGAATTGGATTGCTCAGTAGAACAACGTCTTATTTCTGGTCCCACTCGTTCCTCTCTAAAGTCAAGTCCTTTCTTGTGCTTTTGTCCAGTGCAGTTGTGCTCTGTTTCTGCATACAGTAAAAGAAAATCTGGAGTGATTACTGTGTGCGTAACCGATGCCATCTGCAAATTTAGCTTCCTCGTTGCACGTGGCGTCTGCCACAACTGGCTGCCAACTTCGGTTAGTAGCTTTTGTGCCTGTGCCTTTCACAGCAGCTCTTTGTCCAGACAAAAGTGGAGATGATGTGCATTGTTCTGAAACATTCCCTGCACATTCTCCTTCGCCTGGAAATCTGTCCATCCCAGGCTCTTGCTAAAGCCACAAGTGCAGGCCAGACTCTTTTTTCCAGTCTTGCTGGCAACTCTGCATCTTTAACACTGCAGAAAATGAGGTAGAGGAGACACAGAGAGGGAAAGGCCCACTCTGCTTTTCCTGTTTTCATTTCTCCCTGGTAGGTCACTCTGCTTGACAGGTGACCTAGCTGTGCGATTTCAGGCTCCTCCATCTCTCTCTCTTTTTTTTCCAGTCTGTTTCAATAGGGAGGGTCTCACTGAGTGGGTCTGTCCCCATGGGGGGGCGTCACAGGTAGTCTGGCTCTGGAACCGATTCCGAATGGTTGCTTTTGCGATGAGTGGGAGGGTGATGGGAGTCCCTTGGCTTTCTGACAGCTCTCTTGCATCTCTTGGCCCAGATCTCAAACGATCCCAGCCCAGGTTACAACATCGAACAGATGGCCAAGAAGTGAGTAATTTTGCAAAAGTTGTGCGTAGTTTGCATCAGCTATTTTACTCTCAGTGGGTTGTGGGATGCACACACATGGCCCTTGAGAGGCAAAAAGCGATATGTTTTTAAAAAGCTTAAAGCAAAATGAAACCGATATGAAACAACACTGAAAACTGGAATGACGGAAGAGCCTGGGAGAATAAAATGGCCCAGATGGACCACAGCATAGGCACCAGGCAAGCCACCCTGGGGAGGGCTTGTCACACAACGACGGTGCCACCACTGGAAAGGCCCTCTCTTATTCAGCCGCCCACCTGACCTCAGTGGGTGGGGGTACCCAGAAAAGGATGTCTGCAGATGGTCTTCAGGTATGGGAGGTAGCCCAGCCCCAGTGGTTGAGGGGTTTAGAGCTTCATACCATCTCACCTGCTCTGTTTTTGACCAGCCGACCCTTTTCAACAGCAGCCCCACATAAAGGCAGCGAAAATCTGAACGCGCGATTGCCAGAGTGTGCATCCGTGTAGCTCGTCTAATCTCCAGGAAGGGTCATGCGGCACACGGAGCTCCAAGGGCAACCAGACTCTGCGGTGCACCTGGCGTGGGAGAAAAGGGCCCAACGCAGTGTCCTTCCTTTGCAGGGGTCAAAAGCTGGTTGAGCTTCCGTATACAGTGAAAGGCATGGACGTGTCCTTTTCTGGGATCTTATCCCATATAGAGGTATGGTCCTGTCCAGTTTTCTTCTGTGCCGTGTGAGGTGGGCACTTGGTTTCTCTCTTGTTTTCCCTCTCGCCAACACAATTTGCCCTGAGCTGCTACAACACAACAGGTAGAAGTTCAACAGGGGGATCTCTCCCCTGCATTGAACTCAGGTAGGAAGTTTCCCTGGTTGAAATGTTGCCTGCTAGAAATGCAACTGGGAAGGTGCTCCGGCGCTTGCCTGTGGGCTTCCAAGAGGGGTCTGATGGGCCAGTGTAGACTAGATAGGCAGAACTGGAGGTGGGCAGGTCTAATGTCAGAAGGGCAGTGTAGCCACTCTGGGTTTTAGTCCGAGCTCAAAAAGAGCAATCCGTAGTTTTGAGGCCGAAATCTTTAGCACTATGGACAGCTCCTTGAACATCCAGCCTGCCACCTGGCATGGACCACTGCCCCACTAATGCGGGGGGTTCTGGCCTCCACCACTTTGGTCTGACCCAGCCAGGCCCTTCTTTGGTGCGAAGAGCTACATGATGTCCAGGGAAGCAAAATGAGTTTGCAGAATTTCACCACCTCCTCTCCCGCTGGTGCAGGAAGTGGCACACCGAATGCTGGCTGCCAAGGAGTGCACCCCGGAAGACCTCTGCTTCTCCCTCCAGGTGAGGAACCCGCTGGACCAGCCTCTGCGATGGGGCCGGGCTGCCGGCTCTTGGGCAAGAGGTGGGCCAGCCTCTCCTGCGTCATCCGTTCAGTGGCTGTTCTGCCTGGCCTCATGAGGGGCAACAGGCGACATTGTGACCGAGAGCCAGTGTGGCACAGTGGTTAAGAACACAGGTCTGGGATGCAGTAGATCCGAGTTCGAGTCCCCGCTTGGCCATGTAGCTCACTGGGTGATCTGGGGCCAGCCACTGGCTCCCAGCCAGCCTACCTCACCGGGTTGTTGTTATATAAGGAAAAAAGCTGGGATGTAAGTGCAGTGCAGTAATCACAATACCAGTTTCCTTGGCTACTCTAGACCCCAGGGTGCTGAATTCAGGTTCTCAGGTGTGCAGATCCAACCTGGCCCATCCGGAGCCGCATCCCAGCGCCCGGGCTTGCTGCAGAGAAGCCTGCCCCTTCCCCTCCGCGTCTGATCTTTTGGTGGCTTTCTGGCACGTGTGCACTTCGCGCCCTTTCTGTGGTTTCTCCCAGGGTTTCATCACTGGCAGGGAGTGTTCCAGGCTCAAATAAAATGGTGACCGGGGCATTCTGGCCACCTCCGTCTTGCCTCCAGCCCTCCCCAACCGATGGATGTGGCCCTCGAGAACTTTTCAGAATGCAGCCCAGCCCTCTTGCTGAAAGAGGCTTAACAGCCCCCGGAAATGGCTGATGGGCTGTTGTGAGGTTGTCTAGCAAGGGCGAATGGTCTCTTTCCCCATTTGGCCTTCACCTGGACAAGGAGGGAGGGTGGGTGTGACAACAGGCTCTTAGGATGGTGTGTCCCCCCCTCCACATTCTGACATGGATTGGTCGCTTCAAAACTGGGGGCCACTGGGAAAATCCAAAGGGATTCCACACAGGGCCTGACGTTGATTTTGTTTTTGATCTTTCCTCCAGGAGACCGTGTTCGCGATGCTGGTGGAGATCACCGAGCGGGCCATGGCGCACACCGGCTCCCATGAGGCACTGATCGTGGGTGGCGTTGGCTGTAAGTGCACGAGGTGGGAAGGACTGACGTTTCTGCCCGTGCTGTTCTTCCACAAGCAGGTTTTCGAACTATTTGATCCACACGGTGCTGCGACCCCCACCGCTGCCTATTCTTTGCTCACAGAAGACACCCAGAACCAAAGACCACTTTCAACTTCCCCTAAATGATGCCTCCGTCATCCCCCTTCCGCTCTTCCCTATTCGCAGTCCTACCTTCTCATCTCCATTCTGTCAGTTTCCAAACCATCCAGAGTATTTTTTGTCAATTCTGAATACCCCCCTTTTTAATTCAGAGATTTTCCTCTGTGTCTCTCAACCTGCTTTTTCAGACAGAATATTTGGAGGTGTGATTTTAAAGGAAGGAGGGTGGACTTGCTGGGAAGAACTTGTGGGTGGGGGAATTACAATCTTCCCCCAAACCATAAATTGCCAACCACCCTGCTTCCCACCCAAAAAGTGACAATCTTTCCCGGTTGGGGATGAACCAATGGCTGATGCCAACATACAAAGGCGTCTTTGCTTTTCGGCAATGTTCTTTGTCAACTTTTGCTGAATGCTGTTTGAATGAGATAGTCTCTTAGCATGTATTCACCACGTAGTGTTTCTCCAGGTAATGAACGTCTGCAGAAAATGATGGAGATCATGTGCAAAGAGAGAGGAGCAAAGCTTTTTGCCACAGATGAGAGGTAAGATTTTCTCTGCCCATTTCGCCTTCCTCCGAAGACCCTCTCAGACTGGGACTTCTGTCCCTTCCCATTCACCTTCCCACACATGCAATATAGCTTTGATTGAGAGAGCTGTGTTAATAACTGGCACAGTTGTCTTGTGGCATCTCAAAACCTGGCATTTTTTGGGGCAGTATCTTTCATGAATTTGGACACTCATTTGCAGGTGCATGAAGTGTAGACTTAACTTTGATTCTATTTATCTGGGCCTTGATTGAGATAAGGGTTTCCTCTCCCACTAGAAGTGCTGAGGTAGCATAATGAGCTAGGAAGATGTTACTGCAAATCCATTTATTAGATTTCTATCCCACCATTTGCTTTTTTTAAAGAACTCAAAGCGGCTCATATAATTCTCCTGCTGCTCTCCATTATATCCCCACACTAACCCTACGGGATAGGTTGCAATGAGAGTCTGGCTGAGCAGGGACTAGAACCCAAATTGCCTGAGCTCCAGCCCCGTGCTCTTAACCACTATACCACACCACCTCTCAAGATCAAAGCTCTTTGAACATGTTATTTCAGTGTGAAGCAGCATCACAGGCTGTACATTCTGGATTTTATGGCTTTTTGGCCTGGCTGTTTACTGCCTAAGGAGAGCAGAACTCAGTGCTACAGGGAGAGTCTGTGCGAGTCTCCCCACTGCTCTGCTAGCTGTTCTTCCTCACGACCTCTTTTGCACCCAAAAGGTTCTGTATCGACAATGGGGCCATGATCGCGCAAGCTGGCTGGGAAATGTTCCGATCAGGGCAAGTCACTGCGCTTGAGGACTCGTGGATCACGCAGAGGTGATTCTTTTGTGTTTTCTGGACAAAGGAGAGATGGTCACCGATCGGAAGCAAGGGCTGAGGGTGCAGGGAGCTTGTACCTGGGTGTGCAAGACAGGAGAAGGCTGCTGCAGAGGGGTTGGTGTTTGATGTGTGTTTGAGTCACACCTTCCATTTTGCAATGCCACATAATTTTCTGTTGTGGGCTATAAATCTATTAAGGCTACCTCCCTGTTGAAATCTTAATGAGGACTTGTAGCTCAAATGTGCTCGTGAGTAAAAACCAGTTTTGGAAGGGAAAAGCATGCTTTCTCTGCTTCCAGTGGATGCATGGATCGTGCAAAGCAGCATCTCGGGAGAGGCATGATTGCACCTGCGTGTAATCAGTGGAATGGCTGGCGTCAGCTAGCTTATTGTAAGCGAGTCAGTTTGCCCAAACAAGGCAGACTAACCAGGATTGGAAAGCTTCACACAATGGCCAAGTCCAGGATCCTGGTTTGTTGCTCCCAAACAAGAGGGGTTTTGTAAGCTAACACTCGCATGGCTTCTGCATCTTGGCTTGTTTGGGAGCAACAAGAGAAAAACCGGGGTTCAAACATCACTCCAAGCATGCGCATTTCTGGTATGCTCTCCCTGCTTCCACGAAGTGGAAGAGGAACCAACAGCCTATTTATGTTGAATATTTAAATAAATTGGGCTGAGACAGCAAATTACTGCAGGTGCCAATACAGTTGTAAGAGAAAGGGGGAGAAATGTCTTTTAAGGTAGTGCTTGCCATGTTGGAGGTTTTAAAAAGCATGATTTCTAGTAACAATATTATTTCAGGGGAATCTGTTGCTTGATACAAGGCACCTTCTTATAGCAGGTGGATCTAACCCAGACTTCCCTTATCTGGTATGTTCTGGATGGGCTGACCGACAGCTCTGGGGGTGCAGTCCAAGGGAGGCCCAGGCCCAAATGGCCAGCCAGAGAGTGTCTGGCAGCAAGAGCCTTAGGACAGACTTACAGGATTACCGTATTTTTCTGTGTATAACGATGATACTTTTTTCTTTAAAATACTTTCCTAAAAAGGGAGGGGCGTCTTATACACGGGACGGGGCGGGGGCAGAGGAGAACCAGTTGTGAAACTGCCAATACCTTATCTCTGCAAACTAGACTCACCAGCTAAACTTCCAATTGCGGAGACAAGCCAGCAGGTTTCCTCCAGTCATGAGCCTTATGTAACTGACTTCAGCTGATGCTGCAGAGAGCGTGTAGCTTGGGGGTCCTCAAACTTTTTCAACAGGGGGCTAGTTGAAAGGGTTCGGGTTAGGATCACAGGCGCGCCAGGGGGAGACTGGTGCGATCGTGGGTGCGCTCAGGAGACGGGGGAGATTGGCGCGATCACAGGTGCACTCGGGTTTCTATTTATGTCTTCTATTTAATGTTAAAAATATTCATTTCTGAATTTTGGGTAAGAAAAGTGGGGGGCATCCTATACATGGAGGTGTCTTATAGATGGAAAAGTACGGTAAGTTCCTGGTGTTCTGAAGCTGCAGTGATTTCAGTTGGCTGTAAATGCAAAACCGCACATACCAAGTGTTTTTTCTAATCAGGGTTGCCAAACATTTTAACAGCTGAGCAACGTCGAAACTGTTGCAAAGCATCTAAACCCCACCAGTGCCATGCTTTACAACTTGAATGATACATACCTAAAATCTACCACCTCCCTTAAGACCATCCAGCCCAGAGTCTAAAAATTGCCTAGCTGTCGAATTCCCAGCATCCTCTGCCAATATGGCCAATCCTAGCATGTTAACTCAGGCTAAGTTCCATTGCATTAATGTGAAGGTTCTTCTCAGGTGTTCTGGGAAGGATCACACCATCGCTGGGTGCTTTCCCCCCTGCAGGTATCGTACAGATGAAGTGGAGGTGACGTGGCGTGACTAATCCCTTTCCTTGGAGGCAGCCAGTGGCGATGCGGAAGCACTTCCAAGGTTTCTGGAATGCCAGTGGGTGTTTGATGGCAAATTTATTGAGCTGGAATAAAAGGCACTGCTTTTTTAGAGGGCTGCAGTGTTTGGGTGCTAACCTAAAGCCGCTAGGCTGGAATCAACTTTTTCTTGCTTGTGGAAGGCAGATGTGTGACTTGCAGGGGGGAGGCAAATGCGGGAAGGCCTGGCGGGGGGAGACACACCAAATTTAAGTATGGAGGTAAAGAGGGAATGGGCTCTTTGTGAGGCATCGGCAAATTTCCTGGATTCCCATTTTTTTCTTCTCTTAAATGGGAGCAAGTCACAGCCCTTTCGGTTGACTTGAACGTTCTTGCCAAACTCAGCTTTCTCTCCACTTTGCTATACAAGTCTCCCAGCTGCAATTTCTGCATTGTATTCTTGACCTTTACACTAAAACTGTACTAAACACATGATGGGAATAAGAGAACTGCGGGAAATTATTAGTGCCACTACATTGAATTTATATCCCACCTTTTTTTCCCTGTGAGGAGCCCGAGGTGGCTACATAGCTCCATTTCATCCTCATAACAATGACCTTGTGAGGTAGGCTCAGCTGGGCCAAAGTCAGCCAGTGTGAACTTCATAGCTGAGTGGGGACTAGGACCCTGATCCCCAGCCCAATGCTGTACCCACCACACCACACAGTCCATCTCAGTTACAGTGCAGGAGGTTCAGCAGCTTTAACACAAATGTCACGAGCACTGATATTAAACAACATTATTAAAATTTTAATATTTACAGATAGGCTCAAACTTAAACAACACCAACTAGAGGAATCTGCACTGCATCGCTCCATCGGGTACAATGCAGCAAAACGTGGAAAAATGCAGCACAGTTGCACAACAGTCCTGCAGTGTGTGAGCATCCCTTGCCCTGGAAGGCGGCCCCTGGGCTCACGACCAGGCAGGGCAGGGCAGGGAGTGGGGACCCGGCTGCAGCCGGGGACCGACCGGCTCGGGCAAGGAGCCACGTTCCCGTGCGGCTTTCCTGTCAAATCCGGTGCTGCCCGCAGCCTCTTGCATCGCCCGCTCTTCGGAGCCCTGCCTTCTACTGGCAGTAGAAAGTGAGCGCGTCCTCTTGGTTCCCTCGGATGAAGGCGACAGGCGGGTGCAGGTCCCTGGAGACGGTCTCCAGCCAGGCCATGTAGAGGGCGCTGGGGCAGGCCCCTTTCCGCACCACGGGGAGGCTCCTGCATGATCAGGGAGCGGGGCGCAGAGGGAAAGTGGGGAAACGCTTTTGAGCCGTGGTTCGCAGCTGCGAGTGCCCGCGAAATCCCAAAGGTGCCTTAAGCCAGGCTTGCTCTGCTGTGCAGCAGGGCCTCTTTCATAACTCTGGGGGCTCATTTCAGTCCCCCGGGAGCTGCTGCACCACTGGCTGCAGAATTCTGATGACAGCAGCAAGCGAACGAGGCTGTAAAGCCAAGTTTGGCTTTCCTAGGTGACTGGCACCATTTCCTAACGATCCCCTTCCAGCTGGCGTGAAATTTATTTTAGAAAGGAAGAGAAACAGGAAGCTATATGAGATTGCCAGCTACCCATCCCAAAATGCCCACGCCTTGAAAGAGAAGCGGGGAGTGACTCACATGACTATGAGGGCTGCGTTGCGGGAATGGTCCTGTAGAATCTCATGGAGACGCATGTGCTGTTCAGACTGAAGCAGGTGGGAAACAAGGACAAGAGATGCATGGAGGAGATCTTCAATGCCTCTGTTTTACTCCAACAGACACTTGCAACCAGAACGGGCAATCGGCTGCGCCCGCCTCGCTCACCATTTCTGCTCCAGCCCCACCTCCCATTCGCTCGCCACCCGGAGAGCTTGTGTGCACCTTGAAACACCCTAGGAACAGTTCTCCAAACTCCTCAGTTTAGCAGAGAATTTTAAAAGCTACAAATGTGTGTGTTTACTGCTGTGACCTGGAAACCTAGAAACAATCATCCACTGCCATGATGGGAGTTGTCATAGCAGTTTAGGGAAGGATATATTGCATGAACAAAAGTATTATCTCTCAAGAATGGAATTTTTGCTCCTGCTTTCTCCTTGCAGTATTTATTAGTCTTTGAGCTAAAAGCAATTCAAAACAGTATTAAAAGAAACCAGTCTAGTTAATTGGGAGAGCTTTGTCAACAATCTAAAATTGTTGTTGCTGTTAGTCGCGAAGTCGTGTCTGCCCATCGCGGCCCCATGGACAACATTCCTCCAGGCCTTCCTGTCCTCCACCATCCCCCGGAGTCCACTTAAGCTCAGACCAACTGCTTCAGTGACTCCATCCAGCCACCTCATCCTCTGCCATTCCCTTCTTCTTTTGCCATCTATTGTTCCCAGCATTAGGCTCTTCTCCAGAGAGTCCTTCCTTCTCATTAGGTGGCCAAAGGATTTGAGTTTCATCTTCAAGATCTGGCCTTCTAAAGAGCAGTCAGGGTTGATCTCCCCTGGGACTGACCAGTTTGATCGCCTTGCGGTCCAAGGGACTCACAGGAGTCTTCTCCAGGACCACAATTCAAAGGCCTCAATCCTTTTGCACTCAGCCTTCCTTATGGTCCAGCTTTCACAGCCATACATTGCAACTGGGAAAACCATCGCCTTGACTACACGCACTTTTGTCGGCAGGGTGATGCCTTTGCTTTTTAGTATGCTGTCTAGATCTGCCATAGCTCTCCTCCCTGAAAGGCTTACTGAGCTAGCATTGCATGATAAGATGTTACCTCTCTTCTCCCAAACCTCTCACCTTTTTCCTGTAGACTCTGAGGTCCTCACTGGAGATCTTCCAAGGGGATTCCTTTTCCAACCCTTCCGTGGCTTCTGGACCTTTCTGGCCCTCATGGAGCCTATACGGGGCTATGAGGTCCTCAAATTCTTTCTGACTGGCATGGGCGGGAAATAAAGAAGTCAAGCTGAAAGCAGGAAAGGGGCACGAAGCCGCAAAGAGGAATAGGAGGGAGGGGTTGTAGGTGATAAGGGACTCTGAGATAAGGCAGAAAGCATGGGCACAAGCCAATATTGGTGGAATTATTTTAAGAGCATTTCATAGCCAGCTGATCAGCCCCCTAAGAAAGAAAGGCCAAATGCACTGTTTGGGGATTGCAGGAATCCACAGTGGCTACCTCTGACTAGCTTGTGATTGATGAGAATGATCCTGGTATCTTTCATTAAACAGGATTTTTTTTCCTGTCCTGGCTCATCTAAGAAGTATTGTTAGAAAACTGCAGTGGTGCCACTGGGCAGGATGTGAGGGCAGATGTCTGGGGGTTCAGTTGGCGGAGTGGGCAGGAGAACACCCGAATACAACAGGATGGCTTAACATATTCTGAAATCGGTGAAGCATGTACACATTTCCATCAAAAGAGCTGGGATGTTGGTAAAGACCATTAAGTCCAGAGGCGGAATTAACCATGGGCACCAGGGAAGAAAGCAGCAGGTTGAATTTGAGGGAATCTGGTATTTCACCTAAGAAATGGATCCTGAAATGCTTTTATTCTCCAGGGACAGCAGTGAGGAAAAGCTTCTGAGTGGAGTGCTCAGTGCCAGCTGTGACACCACAGCTGCAAATGGGGGCCTTCCAGATGTGCTAGACTATAGCCTCCATCAGCCTCAGCCGGCACAGTGGGATTTACACTCCCAGCACAGGTCAGGGATAGTTTCAGAACTCAGAACAGTAACTCAAACTACAAATGTGGATTTCAGGTATCCACACTAAAAGGAGAGTCTATTAGAGGCTGGAGATGGGGGATGATGGGACTGAGACCTCTAAGAGAGGGAGTTCAGGAGGTGTACCTTGTCTCTTCTGGCTTCCACATGATCTCAGGCAGCACCACGACCTCGTTGAAGCCCAGGCGGAATTTGTTCAACAAAAACTGGATCCTGCAGGCCCAGGGTGGGGAGAAAAAGATTGTAGGGGTGGGAAAAAGCAAGCTGCGAACATTCCCCTACCAACCATTGAGGGAGAAGACAGAACAGCAAGCTGGTTGTTACCGATTTAATTCAGCAAGTCATTACTCTGTGATTTTATCATACAGAAGAACCTCAAAGGAGGTTCCGGATCAGCTGTGCTGGACTGCAGCTCCCAAAAGCTCCAGCCAGACTAGCTGGGCTTCCTTTCTCAACAGGGATATAGGAACATGGGAATGTTATTATTATTACATTTCTATACTGCCCATAGCCGAAGCTCTGTGGGTGGTTCACAATGTCTAAGTCACCCATCCAGATTTCAGCCAGGCTGGACCCTGCTTAGCTTCCAAGACTGGGCAGGCACTGGCACTTCAGGCTGTATTTTGCCTTCCGCTGGGCAGGCTTTGGGTGCATTTAATTTAAGGGCCACTGTGCCACGGCCCCTCCCTCTCCCCCAGCGCTCTCATTGGGCCTGTGAGGAATCCAGCCGCGGGTGCCAGGGCTCTTCTCCGCACAGCACATCCGCCGCTTGTGACCTTCTCATCCAACCCCGATTAGAACGTTCCCAGCCCGCGCCCGGGATCCCCGCGGTTTTGCTCGCGACTCCCGCTGCAGCTCGGCTCCCTTACTCTTCCCTGTGCTGCTCCGCGTCGGCGATCTGCCCGCTGATGAAGACTCGGACCTTGCAGCAGCTCCAGCGTTTCCGGCGGGTGAGCAGGTAGGGTATGAGGAGGGTCAGGCCTGCAGGAGCAGGAGAAGCGAGTCAGAGGGGCTGGCTGGTTGGCAAAGAAGTGATGGCCACACACACACACACACACTTGGTGCTTCGTGCAGTGGAGCTGCTCTCAGTGCCTGCCCAGCCTAAAACAGCAGAGGCCCTCCCCTCTTCCAGAGGTCGCCACCTTCCTCTAGGAAAGAAAGACCCCTACCGCCGTCATCAAAGAGCCAGTAGATGTCAATATTTTTCTTCTTCTGCTTGCCCTGGAACACCGTCTCCAGGTGTGGCTCGGCCCCAACTACTCTGAACGCGTCACCTGTGGGCAAGAGTCAACAGCGAGTCTTGGCTAGGGTTCCCATATTGCTTGCGAGCTTCCGGGCCTCAAGTCTGGAAGCTCCGTAGGTGTGAACCTGCAACGGTTTCGTTCAGATCCCTGCCCAGCCAGAGCACGAAAAGGTCCTTGGCAGGAGGTGGCGGCTACTGGGTTGGCATCGTCCTGTCTTGTCCTTTCAACCCAGTCTCCCGCAACCTGATGCTCTTCCGAGGGTCTGGACTAGAACTCCCATCAGCCCCAGTCTGCATATCCAGTGGCCTGCAATGCTGTGAGCTGCAGTCCAATACATCTGGCAGATTCCAGGTTGGGGAAGGCCGTGTTAACCCACACTCCAGCCACAAACTTACGCTGTGGTTTCTCTCTGCTCAGAGCCGCTTCTGGATCCTCAAAGCCCAAGTTCACTGCTCAGGAGAGAGGAGGAGGTTAGTTAGGGCTGTGTGCCTTTTTGTGCATGCGCAAAAACAGGTTTTCAATTTTTTGCATTGCGGTCACAGCTCTCTGAAACGCAGCCATATTTGTCCATGGGCCCCGCTCCCTTCTCCCAGAACTGGTGCCACGTACAGATGTAGCTTCCGGCATTCCCACATCCCTGTCCACCCAGCTCCTTTCCTCCACACACACACACCTACCTTGGGCCTTCACTCTCCGGGACATATCCAGTCCATCTCGCATCCGGAGGACACAGACTCCAGCGCTGAAGTCAAAAGCGTCACTGCAAGGGGGAAAAAGGTTAGCCTTTCATGTGGATCCGAGTCCTCCCAGGAGATCCCGAAAGAAATTCTGGGGGTGGTTGCACTGGGCTGTGGCATCCAAAACAAGAAGGAACCTTGTGGCACTTCAAAGATTATAGGGGCACCATCCCTTGCAGGTTTAAACCTGAAAAGGGGCTGTAACTCCCAGCAGACATGGCAGGGGAATGCTTAGAATTACAGGCATCTTTGGTCTGAACTTATATAGGATTGTGCCTTAACCATATTTCCCAGCCAACACAAGATATCCAAATCTTCCATCTGACACAGTTGACAAGGAGCTCTTTCTGTACTGAGTGAGGCAGGTAGAGGGTGTTTCTGAACATGTGCAAAGTATCTTCTATCCAATGAGTTCTGGTGCTCTCTGGCCTGCCTGCAACTTACAGATTTTATTCATTGGTTTATTTAAAACATTTTTATACTGTTTTTTATCTGGAACAGATTTGTAGATGACTTACAAAAGGACAAAAAGCCGCCCCGAGGCTTCGGCGAATGGGGCGGCATAAAAATGTTTTAATAAATAAAAATAAAAAATAAAAAAAACCATTACATACATAAAGCATAGTTTTCAATATATGGAAATATACAGTAAAAAACTATTCAACCATCAAAATACTGGGTGAATAAAAAGGTTTTGGTCTGGCACCGAAAAGAATAAAGCATTGGCACCAGGAACACCTCTCTGGGGAGCAGATTCCAAAGCTGGGATGCTACCACAGAAAAGCCCGATAGCTGCTCGTCTAGCCTCTTTCTAAGAGGGCTCCAAGAGAAGGACCTCAGTGGAAGATCTTAAAACTTCAGGCAGGTGTATATGGAAGGAGATGCTCCTTCAGATATGCAAGCCCAAAACTGTCTTTATGTTTACATCATTCCTTTTTATGTCTGGTATACAGTTGTCAATCTCTTTGGCCACTTTTGCACGAACTTTCAGCATCTCTGCCCCAAACTGGCCAAATGCCATTTCACACAACCCTTATATACAATCCCCTTTCTAGCTCTCTTTGCCCCACATGCAAGGAGTCCTTACTGTATTATGCTGACATAATTCTCCAGATTGTGGGGAGAGTCGGTCTGCCAATTCTGCTTGTAACCCAGAACTACAGTGTTGGGTCTGAGGCGCCCCAGGCCCGAGACCTGCAGAGATAAACCATTGTTACCTTGACACGCAAGAAAGATACTGTGCAGGAAATCAATCAGGTCAACAAGACTTGTTCTGGCCACCAGAGGCCAACAACCCTACAGTTACAAGTGCATTTCAGAGCATTTTGCTCTTGATCCAGAAAAGCTCCCAAAGAACAAGAGAAAGCAGTCCCTGTAGGCTGATCCAGAATCTAAAAGACGGGACACACAAGGATAGGGGGAGGAAGAGGGAGGAGGAAAGAGTCAAGCTCAGAACTACAATTTGTATAATGACCAGCTGGGCTGGAATAAAACCAGGGCTTAATCTGAGCCAGAGTTTCGCCGGGAAACCTGTTTTGAAGGCATCAAATCTTAAGTCAAGAATAATGATAGGGCCCCAAATGGTGAACACCTAGGGCTTTGTTTGTTTGTTTATTTAAAGTTTTTCTATGCCGTCCCATTACTAAAATGTCTCTGGACTGAGATGGATGGTTACTGCATCCAGGCCAGGTATTTTAAACTGAGAGCAGCAATGGCTCTCCAGAGCCTTGCCCAGCCTTCCTATCTGAGCTCTGAAGGTTTGAGAGCTCCTAGGAAATGGACTTCTTGCATGCCAAGGATGTCTTCTGCCAATGTGGCACAGCCCCTTCCTGGGTCCTGCAGAGGGCCTTCCCCATCCATCTGGGGTTAGGGGCAGGACTTCCAAGACAGACGGTGAGATGTTCCCAGGCTGGCTTGAGCCTCGGAATGGCTTGTCCCGTCACCCAGGAGGAGGCAACTCAGCCAGGGCAGAAGGCATTATTATCTGCTCTGCATGACACGGACTTGCCCCACTGCGGTGCTTCTCTGGGGGAAGCCAGGGTCAAAGTGGTCCTTAGAAACCTCACTGAAATGTTGAGAGTTGACACCCAGAAGTTTAAAACAAACCAAAAGGCAAGAAAGAGAAGGGCCCACCCAGGACACAGAACCACCTTGGGTCTTCGCTGTCATCTTGGCCCCGACACCATCAGAGGAGGCGCCATCTTTGGCCCGAACGGACCACGTGCTGGAGGCTCAGGGCCATGTTCTCAGTTGCGGGCCTCTTGCACTCTTCTGCCCCCAACCGCCCCAGCCTCCCCCAAGAACACCCTCCCCCAAAATTAAAGGCCCTCCACAAGAAGAGCGTTTCCCAGCCTCGCCCAGCCAGAGCTGCAGCCGGCTCTGCACGGGCTGTACCTGCATGAGGCTCCTGGCCCCGGATCGGAGGTCCCCGACGGTGATGAAGTTGTAGAAGGCGCGCACCTTGCGTGCCTTGAGCCACTGCAGCTGCTCGGTGTAGTTCTCGGCACACGCCGCTTCCCGAATCTGCCGGCGCAAAAAGGGGCTCCGCTGAAAGGACGGCTCCCCGTGCTGCAGACTGGCCCCCCAGCACTGCCTTTCCACCCCCCCACAAGGCCCCGCTCCGGCCGCGAGCGCTCACCTCGGCCACGTTCCCACATATCATGAGGCTCACGTCCTTGGTGAAAGCGCCAACGAAATCCACCAGGGCTGGGCGGAAGCTGGGCGGGCCGGAGAGGACCAAACACTGTGGCCTGCGGCGGGGGAGAGCCGTGTCATTATGGGATAGCTCTTCCCACCTGCAACACCACCTGATTTGTGGGCCCCAGCGGCAGGTAAATGACCTCCTTCAGCTTGATTCGGAATCGGCTCAGTCTTTACAAGTGTTTCCAGTGTGAATTCCAAACTTGGGGTCCTATCGTGAGCCTCTAGTGAACCTCAATGCAAGTTGTGTGCACACCGGAGCCTCGCTGGGAAATGCGATTCAATTTGGCACGGCGCACGTGGCCAGAATGGCAGGGATGGCAGAAGCTGCGATGCCACAGGCCGAGTGTTTACACTTGGTTGAGATTTTACTAGATGTGGAGGTTTTACTACACGGCGTAGTGCTTTTATTGACTGTCGCATTTCTCTTCCACCCACTGGCTGAACCTCACTTGGCAGTTCGCAACAATCCACACACACAATAATGCAGTGCACACACACACACACACAATAATGCAATGCTGCCCTCCCCGTGCCTTGATCTGTTTGTCCACCCAACCTAGTATCATTCTGCAACTGAAGTGCCCACTCAAAACAGCCAATCTGGTTTCACAGCCTTCTCTGGAACTGTTGAAGAAATGGAGCTTCACGCTGCACCTGAATTCACCCAAGGAAGGCAGAGGGAGAACTGACGCTATCCGAGCGTCCCCCGAAAGCAACGATCGTCTCGCTGCACCCAGAAAAGCCCCTTGCTTGAATAGTATTCCTGGGTTATACAGAGTGAAGTTGAAACCTATCCAATTACCACTGAATGCAGTGCCAGCAACGGCAGGTACACCCATTAACAAAAGCAGATCTTATCTGCTTGCTTTGATGTTAATTTACAACCGGCAGACTCCCTTCTGTCATCAAAGCAGAAGGTGAGCTGTAACAGGCACCTGTAACACCATCCTGGGTTATCACAGAGATGTGATTGACAACATCCCGAGTCTTCCCAGAATTGGCACTAATTGCCATTCTCCGCACATGCATTCTCCCACCAGGCCGAGGTGACCAGAAAATACTCAAAGCCTGAACATCTACAGCTTAGTCTGAGGGTATGGGGATAACATTTGGGAACTTCCGTATTGAGGAGTTCCCTCAACTTCTTCTCTGCTATCAAGGCTCTCTCTCCTTCCAAGTTGGCCGCAACAATGACTTTCCAAGTGGAAGATTTCTTGAGTTAGTGCAAGCCAATCAGAGTGGCTTCAAAGTGCAAAGGAAATGTACTGCAGAAGCCCGTAACAAAAGCATACTAGCTATAGTTTATGTTGTAAGCTGTCCAGAGAAGAAATCGGACGGCATACACATTTTGTAACTAAGTACATAAATAAATATTCAGGAAGTGCGACAAGGCTGTGAAACTGTTCCCAAAACAAACATCTCTCTTCCCTTCCAGTTTACACGTGCACTTCAAAGATGTGTCTTGGAGCCGATTGCTAGGCTAGACGGAGGTCTCTCCCCTCTTTCACTGATGCTGGGCCCAGGATTCGTGATGGTGGTCCTCCCGTCTCCTCTTTACAGATTCATATGGCTTCCCACAAAATCTGAAATACATTGGCTCCTTCAGGGTCCCCTGGCCTTGGCATCCCAGCTGCAGGTTCCAATCCCTGCTCTTCATTGGAATGAGAATCTGTTCCCACGTTCCGAGCAGGCAATTTTGCTGGAGAAATGGGCCTGATCCCTGCAGCCGATGAAATTCCAAGCTGGAAAAGCTGTTCTGGAAGGATCTGTAATGCTTGATTCATTGCGCAGTGGCATGTTTACAGGACTGAGTTCCAGGCAATTACCAGTGCTGTGCTCAACTCCTGGATGGTTGGGGTCATCTGAAGGAGCGTTCCCCAAACTCGGGACCTTGCACTTTCCTGCCCCACAACCTCCCAGGCAGTAGACCCAGGCACCGTGGCTGTACTTGCTGGCATTGATGGGGCTTGTAGTCCAACAATTCTAGAGGACACCAGCTTGGGGAAGGCTGACCTGCCACAGCTTGACATGACAGGCAACACATCTGCATGTGTGAATCCCCCTGTGCGCCCACAAAAAATTCTGGGCAATCAAGGGGTTACATCTGAAAGTTTGCACCCATCGAGACTGTTGCTCCAAGAGAGCGTTTGCATGGAAGACCGAAACACCGGTAGCAAGAGGACAACAGCTGCCATTCAGCATGGTGGGAGCTGTGTCCCTGTGATGGGGTTGTCCCTCCCTGGTCCTTACCAGCCCCTCAAAAGAAGGTGGCACAGAGAAACCAGGCGCATCTCTCTCTCCGAGGGCCCCCTGCTTCCCCTCAAGAAGCACCAGCATCTGCCTCACCGGAAGTTCTTGACGTGGTCCTCCACATTCGTCAGGTTCATTGCGTTCGACAGCGCCATGTTGTAGGTGCCCGCCTGCACGGAGGAGCCCCAGTTCACCTCTGCAGGGGGGAGAACGTTGAGGAGATGGGGAGCATAGGAAGGGGAGGTGGGCTCCATCCCTACGTAGCTGGCTCCCTTGCACTGGTTCGAGAAGCGACTGTCGGCTGGGTCATGCTGGGGGCTGAAGACCTTTCTCCTGCCTAAACGTGCCCATGATGGCAAGAGCTCACAGCCCTTCCACACGTAAAAGCCAGTCCTGGTTTTCTCCATTCCAGCAAACTGAGGGAGATGCAAGCCACGGGGGGGGGGGGGGGGGCACCATGCAAGAGGGACCTGGCCCCACCCTGAGCTGCTCTTTTGCATTTGGCTCTATCATCCCAACTGAAGATTTGCGGAGTGGTGACTTCCAGGGCTCCAGGTAAAGGACAAGGGATCTCCTGGGAAGCTGCCTTATCCTCAGGCCAGGCCCTTGGTCTGCCTAGCTCTGTATTGTTGACTCTGGCTGGCAGGGGCTGCCCAGGGCTTCTGCCTGGAGTCCTTCCGTCTACCAGAAGACCAAACCCAGGACTTCCTGCATGCCACGCAGGGCTCTCTCGCTGAGCTACGGTCTCTCCCATCCCAGAAGTCTGCTCACCCCCCACTCATGGAACTTCTGAAAATGCCCCAAATCCTAACCCAGCAGTTGCGATTCGCCTTTGAGATTCCGCGGGCTCCAAAGGCAGGGGCAAACAGCTTAAGAAGCAAATTCTCCACAGCTTGGTTGGCTGATGCCACGCCACTGTGATGAGCACCTTGAAGAGGGCAAGTCTGAGAGGAACTGAACTGGGGGCTTGTACCTGACAGGTCGTTTTGCTAGCGAAATGCACAAGAACTCCAGGCAAGCTCCAGCCGCTCTGGCTCGGGCCCCCACCCAGCCCCCCGGGGGAAGCCCAGGAGCCCTACCTGGTTTCTTGTAGGTGACGTACGCCAGACTCACGATGATTATGCCGACGACAATGAGGGCGGCCCACCAGGTCAGCAGGAACATGATGACCACAGAGACGACGGAGCCAAAGAGGGCCGTCCATTTGCTGAAGTAGCGGAACGAAGGCCTCCAGCCTGGGCGGGGTGGAGGAGGAGGATCGTGTGAAAAGCGGCAGGCGTAGGAAGCCCCGAACCAGGTGTGAGGAACCCCATCGATGACCTAACATATACCGCGCACATTTGGAGCACCAAATATTTGAGGGTTTTACTTGTCCTGCAGGACAGTATAACTCCAGTATAAGAAGAACAACAAATGATGGCACAAAGAGCATTGGGAGAATCCATCTGTTAGAGCACAGAGCACCCGAAATACGGCACACATATGGAGGGCGCTCTAAGATGCACCTTGGAGTTACTTTACTTTTAAAACGCATTCATCCATTTTAATTTATATGTGTTTCTGGGAGCAAAGCATCAGGAACTGCATCAGCCTGGAGCAGCAAACTTCCTTAACTTTGCAGTCTCTGCAGCCTGACCCACAAGAGACTAGAAGGACAAAGTACAGAGCTCTGCACCTGCCCACCTCCAGGTAAGCCACCAGGGAACAGAGCGGGGGCTGTGGGGGCTGCAGGTCTGCCCCACAGCAGGAGAGAGTCCAGCCAACGGGAATGGAATGGCTGAATTCCGACTGGGCCAGCACAATGCCTCAACCTGACAACTCCGTAATTTGCAAGGCAGCGTCAGTGTCTAATACTAAGGAATTTTCCAAGCTGTGCAAAGCCAAGTCTGATCACTAGTCCGATAGGCAGCACTGCCCCAGCATGCATGCATGTTTCTTCCCTGCATCCTCCATGGGGCATCTGCCCCGTCCTCCTTACCGGGGGAGTTGGTGATGGTGGCATGGAAGCAGCTGAAATTGATGAGGGCGTAGGAGCACAGAAAGAAGTTGGAGATGATGGGTGCAATGGTGTTCAGCTCGGCTGCAGATGCAAAGGAGAGAGTTAGCCAAAGCCGCCTCATATACTAGCACAGAGCACGGTGAGGTCTTGGGTGCTCCACTCAAGAGGCTAGTCCTCAGGGGTCTCACTTCCACGCTAAGTCAATTTCACCAATGTTAATTCCTGGCTTATTTAAGGCTGTGCAGTAATTTCATTCACATTCATTGGCAAGATGCACTTTTGCTCCAGCTCCACCCTCTCAAACCACCTCCATTCGACATATTCTTATCTTTGACCTCGTCTGAAAAGCCATTCATGTTTTGGGCATGGAGGGTGGGTTACCCGGCTGATGGGGAAAGCTGCCCTCACTTACCAATGAGGATGAAGGCAATGGCCAGGATGAAGGTCAGGGCATAAGCCCGCAGAGGCTCCTGGTTCTTTCCATACCCCTTTGCAAAGAAGCCGATGAGGGGGTACAGATTATCCTGGCAGAGGCACTGAAGGGAGGAAAGGAACTCGGTGAAAGAAGCCCAGAGGAGTGCTGTTTCAGTGTGCGCATCAAAGGAGCAGTTTTAAAATGTCCTGATTCCACATCAAACCTTCCTCCAGCCTTGGGGTCAGCAGATGCTCCGAGCTCCAATTTGCAAATACTCAGCTCGAGTGGGGTAGAAAGCACTTTTACTCCCTCTCTCACTGGGGACCAAGGAGGGGCATCTGGAGCTTGCCAAATTCCTTCTTTGTGTCTCGCTCGTCATCTGCTCATCAATGCATTTTTATTATTTTTAGGGAAATGGCAGAATTTGGCTGCACGTGTGCTAATTCGCACTTACGCTGACACACGAACAGACACGCGCACCCATGAGAATTAGTGCTAACACACTTCAGCACCAGCGAATCTCAACACAGAAATCAAAAAGCAGTCCACCATAGGTTGGCTTTCTAACATCTGGACTCCTTTGACTCTGTGTGGATTTCTCCAGCATCCCTGGCCCAGGCAGCAGATTCAGGACTGAAAAAAGAAAGCATTTTTCCACAATTAACCCTAATTAACTTAAGGAATTTGCAGCCATGGGATGGGAGGGTCTTCCTCTGAGAGGCCCCTTCCCCAAACTGGGGCCCGGCCGGCAATCAGTCATGATGCTTCAGCGGACACACAGTCTTCAGAAGCAGCATGCCAAGCCGTTTTGGCTGCTCGGCAGAGGCAACAGAGGGGAGGTCTTGCCACATAGGCAGGCATCTCCCCCTGAAGCGTGTGCTCTCTTCGGGTTGTAAAAGACGTTGTTTCACTTTTGGAACATGGGAAGGATGAAGACGTGGCCTCCTGAACCAACAGTCTACCCGGAAGCCAGGCCCCATAAGTGAAGCTTGACTGACACAGGAGTTGCTGGAGTTGTTACTATAGCAACCCCGGGAGAGGCCTGGCCAATGGGGGGTCCCAATCTGGCTGTCTGGAGTCCCCCAAAGGCCCCCCTGTTCCCCTGGCCCATTCCCCCCTCTCTGAGCACAACTCATTGGATGGTTTCCCAGCTAGCTACACAAGGCCGAAACACCTCTCCAAAGGCTTCGTTTGAGTTATTTATTAGATTTATATCCCGCCTTTTTTCTCACAAAGAACTCAAAGCAGCTTACTAGCTGCTCAGCAAAAGGTCCGTGCCCTGGTGTGCATATGCCCAAAATACACAACAGGGGAAGGTTTTCCTCTCAAGGATTTATTCTTGAGAATAACCGGCAACCGACGAATCCTTCCGGACGGAGGATCTGAGCAGTCCTCAGTTGGCCCTTTTATACATTGATCATTTCAGAGTTTCACGTAACACAGCCCACACGTTCCAACAGGTTACAGAAGTGAAAAGTTGCAAAGCTGTGATCTTCCCCACTTGCATGCCAAAGATTCTCTGAAGGAGAGGGGAGGAGGTGGATGGGGTGGGCTGGTGCCCTGTGTTTGAGCTGCTGTTCTCTGTCCGACTGTCCTTCTCTGGATTGGTGCCTGGTCAGTGTCAGCTACATTGCAAATGTACATTTGCAACGTACATTACATTTTTCTTTCATTCTAGGAAAAAGGGTCTTCCTCCGGCCTGGTTATGTGTCCACAATTGCCCGATTTAACCAATGAAAGCTCTACCCATTGATTTGTGCATCACAACACTAAGAGCTTTGAGCTGAAACATGCCGTACTTTCTGGCATTCTGGGTCAGCCCCTTTTTGGCTTCAGCCCAGTCCTGTTATTGGACTGAGACTTCCAAAGGTTTTTGGAATGGGAATTTAGCCCCTAGACTGAGAAAACAGTTCTGCAGCCCTCAGACGATCTGTGGCTTCACGGGAAGAAGTGACAGCAGAGACTGGGAACTTGGGCATTTTCTGGCCTGAATTGCCTTGTTCCGAACAGGGATAGTCTGGGCAGAAGGGGCATCGGCACCCATTTCCCCATCCCAACATACCTGGAAGACTTTGGGAGCAGAAACAAGGCAGGCCAAGGCGGAAGACAGCGTGGCCGCAAAAATGCCAGCTGTGATGAGGGGGCTGAATGCCGACACCATGCTCATGGTCTAAGAGACAAGCAGGGAGATGAGGATGAGGATGAGGATGAGGATTTCTATATTGCTCATAGCTGAAGCTTTCTGGGCAGTTAACAGCAACCCATTAAAAATGCAGTATAAAATACAAGCCACATTAAAACATCATCAAAACAACACCATACAAACATTTAAAGCCAACAAAATATAAAACAATTCCAGTAGTTAAACAAAGTAAATATTAAGACCTATCTAAGCAGCTAACCGTCTCTCAGGACACTAACTAAATGCCCTGAGGTAGAGGATGTCTCAGCCAAAAGCCAGAAAGCTGTTAAGGTTGGCAGCAGGTGGGCCTCAGTGGGCACCCTGTTCCATAACTGGGAGGCTGCCACTGAAAAGGCCCTTCTCCTTGTTGCCACCAAGTTAGCCTCCCTTGGAGGTGGCAATCAGAGGCAGGCCCCAGTTCCTGATGATTGTACGTGGGACGTTTGTGGCCGGAAGTGGTGCTTGCTCAGGTACTGAGGTCCCAAGCTGTGTGAGTGTTCTGGTGGTGGGGAATCTCTGTCCCTTCACTTGCTGCAGTTTGACTCCCAGTCTCATCTTCCCTGACCACTAGCCACAGTGCTCACAGGGTTCATCATCTGCCAGCCGACTTGACCTCTTTCTATCCCACCATCCATCCTATGCAACTCCAGTGGGGAGTGAGCATGGATGTGGACCCACTATAGTCTCCCAGACAGGCACTGGCCAAGCTTGGACCTGCTTAGCTTCTGCAAAGCTGCTGCATCGTGTACCATCAGACCACGTCCTGCAGTGACCATCTGGCCAGAAAATACTGTGCAGGAACCCTCTGGCCTTTGTCCATGGTGGTGGAACCCGTCAAACAGGCTCAGCTGAACCTTCAGGGCCTTCTCCACGCTGCAGCCTCTTTCTACAACTGGGGGGAGATCTTGATAACTTTATGATAGGGGCTCTTCAGCCACACCGCCAACGGCAGAGGGAGAGGACCCAGGAGTGCCAGCTTCTCCTACCTGGTAGTCATTGGCAAGGCCGTATTCGCAGGTCCCGGCCTCGGTGCACTCTGTGAAATTCCACCCAGACAGACAGCCCAGGCCGACACAGTCCCCGCCTGTGAAGTTGGAGGTCCCCAGAGTGTCATTCATGCTGCCACTGGCATCCCGGATCACACAAGTCCCTGGCAAAAGGGAGGGAGAGGTTCGGAAAACAATGGCAGAGCGGAATACCTGGCGTGAGCATGATGGCCCCGTGTGCTGAACTGCGCATTCTTTACCTATGGTGGCAGCGATGGCCAGGTACGTCAAGGTGGTCAAGAAGATGGCCATCAGTGTCCCCTGGGGAATGGCCACAGCCGGGTCCTGGAAAGCAAAGGGCAAATGAGGGACCACCCCCAGCTGCCTTCCGTCCTGCACCTGCCACGGCCTCGGGGTGGCTCAAGGGCTTCCCTCTGGGCTGCTTGAGAGGGCCAAATGGGACTTGCCAGCCTCATCACCAGCCGGGCTGCCGTTCTGCAAGTCTGGCACCTTCTCTGAAGACTTGTGAAGGCCGGGAGCAGGCTTTCTGTTTTCCCACCATTTTAACCAATCCGACTGCATTCTTTCTAACACTGCTTTCTTCCATTTTGATTTTACTGTTGCCTGTATGGTTTATGCTGCTTTTTGTTCAGGTTTTTTTTCTCATTTCATTTAAGCCATCCTGGAAGTATTTTACTGAAGGGTGGCACGGAAATCTTTAAAATAAATCCACTTGAGGGAAGAATGTCTCCAGCAGGTCCCCTCCAGCACTTTGGTGCAGCCCGTGATCAGTCTCCCCCATGCAGGAAGATCACAGGGGGCCCAAACCACCCACCTTGAGGTCTCCTGAAATATTAGCTCCAGCCAAGATCCCTGTGGCTGATGGGAAGAAAATGGAGAACATGCCGAAGAAACTCCCGGACTCGCCTCGCCATTCAGGCCCGATATTCTCCAAGAAGATGTCACCTTCAAAAAGGGGAGGAAATTAGTCTGGCGATCTACCCAGATGAAATGGAGGAAGAGCAGAGTGGTGCATTCACAGGGTGGCCATGTTTACTCTTTCACATAGGACAATCCTCTCTTGGAAGGGCTGCCAGAGGACTGTCCCCTACTTGAAAGGGTGTCCTGCCTAGATCTAGAACCATAAAAAGCGTTGTCCTTCCGCAGTTAAGCAACAGACTGAAAAGGAAAACTGGCCGCGTCTTCCACACTGTATGGAGAGGTGCTGCACTTGTATTTCAATTAAAATCATTATTTCTAAAGATGCATCTCTGCATATCCATTAGCACACCGATATTCCTGTCCGCTTCTGAGCCTGTATTGAAACTGATATCCTCTTGTTTCCCTCTCCTGGTGATGCATTTCTTTGTTTTTGAGGAGTTGCAAGTACCCATCCCAATTTGGGGGCTTTTTTTAAATGCGGACTGAAACTAGATTCATGACATTGTCTTACTTGGAGTGAGGCTATCTATCTATCTATTCATCCACCCACCCAACTTATATTCCACTATAACTAGTCCAAAGACTCTCTGATTGGTCTAACCAGGTCAGTATTGTGTGCTTGGATTGGCAGAAGCACTCTGGGATTTCTTTCTAGCTCTTCCTGGGAAAGTCAGGAATCGAAAATGGGACCTTTCTGCCTTTCTGCTACTGAGTGGGACCTTTCCTGGACTGGAGCACAACTGCTCTGCAACTGCTCCCCAAAAGGATCATGGGGCATCTGGCCCTTACCACGATAGCTGAAGTAGCCCTTGGCCATTTTCTCTGGCGTGGCGGGGATGAACGTCCCAATGAAGTAGTTGATGAAGGAGATCATGATAACGAAGAAGAAGACCACTTGAGCCTGAGAGGAGAGGAGAGAGTGGGCAGCCAATGCGAAAGGAGGGAGCAATCTGTTTCTTGACCTAGCGGGATGCCAACTCGGATCCCGGTTCTCAGCAATTTATCCACACTATCTTGGTTTTCCTCCCCTTTAACCACCACAAAGGCCAAAGCTCAGTGGGACAGCAAACATTGCCATGTTCTCAACCCTTGGCTTCTCCTCTGTTAGGAGACTTTAGGTAGCCGTGGCCAATCAGGAATCTTGGGGCTTGTAGTTTAGTATGGTACTGTTAGAAATCTTTCCTGTTCCATGCAAGACACACAATTCACAAAACTGCAATTCCCGGGGTCCCCAGGGCAGACAGCATAGGTAGTCGAGTCTATAGCAGCCTTCCCAAACTTGTCACCCTCTGGATGTGTTGGGCTACAGTTCCCCTCATCCCCAGCAGGCATGGCTATGGGCTAGAACAAGCTAGCACTCTGATCCTTCCTCTCTCCTAAAACTAAGACTTGCATCACAGGGAGTTCAGAAAAAAGCAAAACAACAGCAATTAGTGGTGCAGATTTTAATCCGCTTTGCATAATTGATTCTACTTTGGAAGGAACAAGAAATTAACAAATGCACCTAGCAATCTTGCACAACCTCTTTCCTTCCTGCCAGGAATTAGGGCTGCCAATTTCTTTCTTGCTCCCTGCTCCTGTCCTGTGAATGGCAGCTTGATCTGATGTGCAAGCAAATGATAACACCTCGCTCTGGCTACAAAACGCTTGCCCTGATGATTATCTGCAGCTCAGACTGCTACTAATGCCACAAAAGCAGCCCAGCCTGTTGTGTTTTCCCCAGTCACTTGGCAAGCCTTAACAGGCACTGCCCATACGCTCTCTTCACCGCTTCAAGGACTGGAATCCTGATTCTGCCCGGCTCTAACCGCTCAGCTCCACTTCCTTCTTGAGAGTGGGCCAGAACCCAACCGCTGCCTTCCTCCCATTACCTTCGCCTCCCACTCCATGCCAGCCAAGGCGATGCCAAGCAGGACGGTGATCGTGATCACGCCCACAATCCGGATGTCGTTCACCGGGTCAGTCATCACGGCATCGAATTCCTGTTGGGGAACAGAGGGACGCGGAGAAATGCGGGCGACGTCCCCAGCAGTGCCTTCCCCCAGGGCTCGGGGCTCGCTTCACTGGCCTTCAGCTCACTGCCCACTGCCGAGTCGGCGGCCCCGCTCCCACTCCACAGGCAAAAGCTGGCCGGGGAGGCCGTCCAACCTTCGTGGAGAGGAGCGTGGCCTGCGGGACGTGGCACGATGCTGAGAAGCAGGCCTAGCAAGCGAACACAACGGCGCACACGAACGTGAAGCAGCGCTGTGTCACCCAGGGATCGCCTCCAACCGACGCGTGCCCACTAGAACATCCGAAGGCCTGCTGCTTCCGTCCCACCTCCACCTGCGTTTCGTTTCCTCCTCCTGTTATTCCCAGCTCGGGAAGGCTGGGGTGGGTGCTGACTGCGGGTTTAGGAAGGCAGCAGGCCTGTGCAGTGAGGCCAACTCGGCCCGCAAGGAAACAACTCGCACGGCCTCTGTGGCAACGACCTGGCCTCTCGCTTTGGCAGAGATCAGACGGGCAGAAATCAGTGGCAAAGACGCCTTTTCGCACTGGGAAGCACGTCAGGGCCACCCGGGAACGGCTGAGTCGTGTTGAAGGGAATGGCTACGGGGGCTGATTTCTGAGGGTGGGGAGGGAGGGAGCGAGGCCACGCCTACCACCAGGAGGTCCTTGACGGTCTCGGAGAAGCCCACCACGTGCATGGCGACAGCGACGGCATTGGCGAAGGAGAAGAGGAGCCCAATGGAGCCCCCGAGCTCCGGGCCCAGGCTGCGGGAGATGAGGAAGTAGGTGCCCCCTGTGTCAGACACAACAGCGACGATTCAGGTTCCTGTCCTTGATTTCATTTCTGCACCACCCCTTGCCAAGCCCTCTGGGGGGTCTGTAGCGATTCGAGAGATGCCGTCTACTCCTCAGGGCCGGGCCGGCCACGAGGCACGTGCGAGTCACGGCTCCGTGCAGAATGAGATGTGACGCTTGCACATCCTGGACCCTGCGTGGCTGCTGTTTTTGAAAAGCTAGCCTTGGGGGCAAACTAAACTGAGGCTCTGGAAGGATGGAGGAAGGGGCTTGAAGGTTTGGTTCCCTGCATCATCCTGATCTGAACCAGGAGGTCCCATTGCCTGCCGTCTGCCAAAAGCTCCCATTATGAACCGCCTTATGGGAATTCCAGAACTAGATCCATATCCATCATCTCCTCCCGTGAAGGTACCAAAGGCTTTTGCCATGCAGTTTCTAGGATTCACAGCCCAGGGTTGGCTCTGAGTTCTGGGGAGCCCGTGGACATGACAGTCTTGGTGGGGAGCCCTTGCTGAGCAGCCCCACCTCCTTGTCACTGTCACACTTCGTTTCCCTGTCCCAGCAGACACAACCTGGGTCACTGCCGCAAAGGGGAACGCACAGCAAGTAAAGGCGGAAGTCCTCCATTTGGCTCCTGCAGCTAAGAGAGGGTTGGAGGACAGGCAAAAACAGCGAGGAGGAGGAGGAGGAGGAGGAGGAGGAGCAGGGCCAGAGGGTCGGTGTGCATGAGCACGGGGATGGAGGCCCCAGCATGTGTCCGTGTAGCTCTGCATAATGACCTCACAGCTCCTCACACTCAATACACATGCAAATACTGGTTTCAGGCCTTTAGAATTCCCACCGAATCACCTCTCCTCCTTTTTCACTGGATACAGTCCAGACCTTGCTGGGAGCACAAGGACGGGCTGCTGAGTAGGAAAAGATCGCTTACCCGATTTGACCTTGCCGTTGGTGGAGATGGCCGAGATGGAAAGGCCAGTGATACTGGTCACCACAGAGGACATCAGAATGATCAGCCAGGTCAGCCCTGAGGAGGCAAGAGACAGCCATGCGAGTTAGAAGCTTGTGGCATCATTCAGCAGCCGTCTCCAAATATCCGTGATCCTGGAGGCCTAGATGTTTCAACCCCTTCCACCACTTCTTGTTTTGCCAGATATGTAACTAGCTAAACTGTTTTGTGTGATATTTTTCTTTCCTGTAGAAAGTGGGTGAACATGTACACTCAAATGTGACTGAGAAGAAAAAAAAGTTACTGGAAAACTCAGTAGAGGAGTAAAGGATGGAGAAGTATCAAGCGGCATTTTAACTGTTAACATTATTGGTTTTATCTGGCCAGGGCGGCTTATTTTATACTGTATTGCTGTATTTTAATTTTATATTTATATTTTAATTTATATTATAATTATTTTAATTTATTGATGTGAGCTGCCCTGAGGCTTCGGCGAATGGGGCGGCATAAAAATGTTTTAATAAATAAATAAAAATAAAAAAGTAGCAACATTTCACAGAAAGATTTGAAACAACAGACTTTCATATAGTCAGATTCTCTGTATCTGAAAATCCTTTTAAATCTTTGCTTCAGAGATTTGTTTGTAAGGGGTACATGCAAAACCATATCATTTCCTTTGGTTTATTTCTTTTTAAGGATACAATCCCATGCGTGTTAAGACAGAAAAAAGGCCTACAATTCCCAGAATGCCCCAGCTAGCCCAGCTGGCTGGGGAATGCTGGGAGTGTTGCAATTTGTTTCCTGTCTAAACAAGCATAGGATTGTGCCTTAAAGAGTTCTTAAATGTAGCCTTTTGATACAAACCTTCAGAGAGGATGGTGCAAAACACTAAAAAGAAGTAAAATACACAATACAAAAGTGGACATGTTAAATTGGTAGGCAAAACCAGAAATCCCTTAGCAAGACTAGAAGTATCTGTTAAGAAACTTCAACCATTAAAGCCATGGATTCTGTTTTTAATCTTTCACACCAAGCACATGAAAAATAATGATGTAAGCATGAGGCAAGCTTCGCTGGGGAGACATGGATATTAATTGTTGATGAATAACGCAATAATGTTATCAGCTTGGATATAGATTACCCGGAATCTGGTGAATAAGGCTTTCATTGTGCAATTGAACTGCCTTATGTGCCACATTTTACCAGGAGTTGAGACAATGCTGTTTCCCTACTGCTTTTTCCTCATTTTTCTTGCCTAGGAAAGAATAAATTAAGGAAGACAAAAAGGAGTATCTGCATAAGGATGTTCAGACATTGTAAAACCCATTATATCTATCTTTTGTGAATGACCAGGCTGCTTTTGTTCCATCATCTGTCCACTAATGCCACTGGATTTCACACAAATGCATTCCTATGCACTTGTGCATATTCACACTCTCAAAAATGTGTGCACGCATCCAAAATGCACAAATCCCTGAAAAATGCTTTGTGTCAGCCTTTGGCAGAAAGATACATTTTTGGTCAGTGCTTTTTAGTTTTTCATACTTCTCTACAACTAAATTTGCATAAAACTATGGAAAAATGTTTAAAAGCCCAACAGTCTGTAAATCTACAGCAACACGGGGAAAAACTGGTCCTCCACAAAATCTGCAGTTTGGATTCTTAGAAATTCAAACAAGTCTGATTCTGCTGCAGATTTCTGTGCACAAGATTTTTTGATTGTTAGTAATACCCCTTTGCCTGGAAGTATCCTAACTTAAACAAACTGAGAACTCACTGAAACCAGTGCAGGTCATTAATTGTGAACTGTCATTTTGATTTTGGCAGGAATTATGTTAAAGTAATTTGCACTGCAACCCTAGGCATGCCTTATAAATAAGTAGGCATAGGAGGCTGGTCATAGTTTGGATTTAGTCATTTTTAATTTCTCTCTCTCTCTCTCTCTCTCTCTCTCTCTCTCTCCCTCCCTCCCTCCCTCCCTCCCTCCCTCTCTCACACACACACACACACACACACACACACACACACACACACACACACACAAAGGGGGTAACTCGTCCCATCTCCTCCTTCCTACAGCAGCCCCTTTATGCCCCTAAAAATGCTACACAGAAAGTCAACAGAACCTGCTGAATGGAGTGAGTTGGCATGCAAGCAGATCTTGGATCCAACTTGTTCAATTTCCGTCGTTCAAGCAAAATCCATCCGAAAGAGAACCACCCTTTCACAAAGTCCAAGCGATGCAAAAATTACAGCCATGCAGCACTTTTAGGGGAAAAACTCTCTAAAGGCTCAATTCGATGCAAGCTCAGGCCGAAGAAAGTCTGCAAAGTCCAGCAAAGCTGGCTGGAAGCCCAGGACTTATTTCTGTCCTAACATGCATAAAGCGGGTGCCAAGGGAGGCACAAACCCCCTAATCAGGACTGAGCACCCTCAGCAGTCAGAGTACAGGCAAAAATGTGTGTGTTTACAGGAAATTAACTAGGTGAGGGTCTTGAACCCAGAACCACCTTGTTAATGTTGTTATTATGTGTGATGTCTCAGTCCACCAAGCTCAACTGTGCTTTTTTGCTTTGCTTTTTCCTTTTCTTTCTTTCTTTCTTTCTTTCTTTCTTTCTTTCTTTCTTTCTTTCTTTGCATTTATATACCACCCTAGTAGCCCAGAGGGCTCTCTGGGTAGGTTTACAAACATTAAAACCTACCAATCCTAAACAAATAAATAATTGGCTATACCACGGCAGTATAAAATAACATAGTTAAATGAATTAAATAAATAAATATAGCATTAAAATTAACTAACTTTAAATATTGGTTAAATAAAAAGGTCTTGACCTGGTGCTGAAAAGCATATAATGACAGCACCAGGCAGCCCTCTCTAACAACAAGCATTAAAAATGGTTCCCACAAAAAAAAAAAAAAAAGGAAGGTTCCCATCCATGGCTTTAATTTCGGCCCCCAGCTACCCATGTGCAGAAAAATCATCTTACCTATTCCAGCTTGTGCGGTTATCCATGGAAGACGTAGATAAAGGATCACACCCCAGATATTCAACATGCACCGGATCTTGGGAAACAGAAGCGAAAACTTGAGAAAGGAGGCACTTACTCATAATAATCATGTGTACTTTTACTTGAAGGAGAAAAGACCAGCAAAGAGATGGCTGCCCCAACGTGCTTCTTCCCAGAGGTGCTTCGTATTTCTGGAAGAGGATGAGCACTCCACCCCTCTGGGTCATCCACTGGTTTCATTCTCTGACTTTACCATGACACCCGTCACCCAGCCGAACCGGACAGGTTCTGCTTCTGGCTCGTCCGCTTCCACGTCCTTCTCCTCCCCATCCTTCGTACCAGGTTCCGCACCTGGATCTCCAGAGTCCGAACTTCCAGGAAATGTTTGCCCCTTGCCCTGAATAAATAACACAGAGGAAGAAAAATGCTAAAGCCATTATTTTTAATTTGTGGGCAGTATGACATTTCTCACATTTTGGAGGAAAACTCGGCTGTTTTGTAACTCTTGCATGCAGCTTTTTCCCAACTTCACACGCTTTACACATGTTGGACTGCAATTCCCAACATACCCATCCACCTGGCTAGAGGCCTGGGCCTTGTAGTCCAACACACACCAGGATAGGGGAAGCTGACTTGACAACCAGAAGAGCCGAGCTTGGGAGATTGGTTGACACTTAGCTGGCCACTGGTTTCTCCTGGGAATAAACACCCTTTGCTCAAATCCCAGGGAGAAAGCAACCCACTTTGGACTACACAGAAAGCAAAGGAGGGTGTCCAGAACTCTAGCGGTGGTCAGGCTTCAGTCTTGTGTTTCCTATTTTTCCTTTTTACTACTCTTTGCATTTTCCACCTATTAGTTTTATATTCACATGCTCCAACAATGCACAGGTGAAAATAAAGAGCTGGGCACATGCATAACAAGCATCAAGAAAGATGTAGCTGGAAAGGATCCCAAATCTCTTTGCAATCCTAACTATTAGGCTGTAAGGGATCCCTGGAAAGTCATACTGAATTTATTTATTTATTAAAACATTTTTATGCCGCCCCATTCGCAGAAGCCTCGGGGCGGCTTACAATAAATAAAAGTAATTATAAATTACAATAAATATAAACATTAAATGACCCCCAAATACATGACAATATATTTCTCCAGTCTCTATATTTACTGGGGACATTGTACTTCTTACTTCCTACAGGCAGTCCCATGTTTTGGCCATGGATCTGCTGGTGAATTGGCTCCTAGGCATGGGAAACTGGGCCATCCCTAGATATAGTTGCATTCTATTTCCCAGCAGCCACTGGTCATGCCCGCTGGGCCTGATGAAGCTGAGAGGTGAACATCTGGATGGTCAAAGCTTCCCCACAGCTGGCATAAATGAAGCCTCGTTGCAGCCTTTCAAACAAGTGTCGTGGCAATTTATTGCTAGCACAAATCTTAGTCCTCTTCCACCCACGCGGCAGAATGAGTGCTCATGCGAGCATTCAAGTCCTGAGGTGCTAAGGAGGGATGGTACCATTTTAACACAAAAGCGGGGGAACCACTTCCCCCTGCCCTATTGCACTAGTGTTAAAAAAGAGGAGTGGGAGAGATGGCTTAGAACCATTTCTATTGGAGACAACCCTCTTCTTCTTTTACTTCTAAGGTTTTTTGCTTGTTTTATTCCACTTGGGGGACATCTGAACGCAAAGCCGTTCCCTGCAGCCTCCAGTACTGCAAAGCTAAGAGAAGCAAACAAGCATTGTTTGCAATCACCAGGGTTCCCTAGGCACCATCTTGCCACTTGTCTCATACCCGATTCCTGTTTGCATTTCCAATTGTTACTCTCTCTGTGCAAACCGTAAAATTGCACAAACTGAACAGCCACTGACATTTGAGCAAACCTCACGGCTGATTCAGTCCACGGAGGAGCTCTGCACAAATGAATATGGGCAAACATTTTTGACGGACATGTGCTCACACTCGTGTTCAACTCTGGCACTTTGAACAGGGCACACTTGCCCATTTTGCAAGCAAAAGTGATATTCACATATACCCGTTCGCAAAGCAGCCAGGCCTTGCCACTTCGGGATTCAACTCCCTTCTGTGCTGCATAGAGAAAAGAGCCCCAAGGTAGCTCACACCGTGACCACAGCTTTCCTCCAGTCCATGCTGATCACGGCAAAGAAAGCTAATTCACGGAAGGGCACCTGCTAGCAAGGTATCTCACCGGGTCTGCATTTCTGAGCATGTCCAGTGAGGGCCGGATCTTCCGACGTCCAGGCGGTGCCGAGAGGGCATAGAATTCATATCGTGGCAAAGCATCAATCGTGGTCTCATAGTCCGGTGGGGCTGAAAGAGATCCATTCTCCTCCGCCGCTTGTGAGTGAGCTGTCACCCCTGATAGGCTTTTATTGGTACCAGGGGCTTGTTCAGAGGAGACCCCACTCTGTAGCTTCCGGATCTTGAACCTCCCGATTGAAAAGACGGTCTTATATGAGGAGGAATCCTCCATTGTCCAATTGGATTGTTCTCACCTGGTGGGCACAAAGAAGAAAATATGCTAGCTTTACACAGTTATGGCAGAGCTTAGTTCTAGTCACGGGTCATGGAATACATTTTGGTACCCAGAAATGATGCTTTCATTAAGAGCTTCAGCTGAAGAATAAGTGAATTCATAAGCAAGACATGAGTATCCCTGATTTTATGCAGATGCCTCATCCTTACCAATCTAGAGTCCCAATCTTGGAACAGGAAACAGTTTGGAGGAAAGAAGATTTTGTGCTTTTAAGTTTTTTACTAAAGATGTACTGTGAATTCTGCACCAAGAAATAGGTGGACTGGGTTGTAATTTTTCTGTAAGGTCCCTTAGTATCTTTCCCAGGTTACTTTTCTAGGTCTTTTTTGTTTTTTTCTGTTTTACTTATAAAAATAAAAACATATTAAAACAGAAATAGGTGTACTGGTGAAGGAAAATTAAAAGCGCATTCAAAGTCATATTTGCATTTTTGCTGCTGATTCAGTTTGGGGAGGTGGAAGGAACCTGGCATCTCACACACCCTTTCTTTGAGGATTTAAGAGCTAGCAACATGGCTATTTCAAATGAAACCCAAACAGCTAATTACACAGAGGACAAAGTTCTCTACACAACGGCATAATGGAACTCTGCACAATGCTAAATTTTTTCTAAGTTTCCCAGGTTTACTTACAGCTCTTTGGAAAAATTTAAATCCAGACAGATTAATGCCACAGATTCGATGGCTATTATTATTGCCATCATCAGTATTAGTGTTCTTACCTTGCTTTTATATCCTTGTGATGAGTCCAAGGCAGCTGACCTAGCTCCATTTTATTAGTACTTTCAGGCATCCTACTCAGCCTTAAAGACTACACACATCTATTTTGGGATCATTCAGGACTGGGCATACTTCAGCCTTGAAGGATCTACTTTATTCATTCCTTTGGGAGCCAGAAATCCTTGCTGGTCTGCCATAGGACTCTACCAGTAGATCTTGATCTGCCATCTGCATGCCCCTAAGCTTCTGGGCCCACAAAAGCATCTGTCAGTGATAAATCCCTTAATCTTCAAGGTGCCAAAGAACCTCCTTGTTGTTTTGGCTGCAGCAAGTTAACATGGCCGGCTGCCCTTTGATAGTTAAGAATGGAATCCCCACCTACAGAGGTGAGACACCTCTGAGCATCAGGTGCTGGGGACAGACAACAAGGGGAGCTTATCCATCACCCTCATTCCCTATTTGCGTAAGAAGAGAACGGCCATGCGGGATCAGACTCATGGATCATCCAGCCCAGCTACCCAGAGGATCCCTCCAGCTCGGCCTGCCCAGCTCCTCAGCAACTGGTGCATGCAGGGTGGACAATCTTGGAAGGTCTGTTTTCTGCTAGAACAGCTGCACACTGGGCTGCCTGAGCTGTCCTCAAACACCGCCCCCCCCCCCAGGCAAGATCCTTTTCTTCTTCCATCACTGCTAGCTCAGATCCCATCAGCCTGTCCTTGCAATTGGGATTTTTGCCCCAATATGCATTGCTCTACACTTGCTTACATTGCATTGTCATTTTGATGCCGATTCTCCCATCTTGGAGAGATCTCCTTGGAGTTCTTCACAATCCCTTTTGTTTTTAACTGCGCTAAATAGTTTGTTGTCATCAGCAAACTTGGCCACTTGACTGCTTTCTCCTAATTTCAGATCTTTTATGAATAGGTTGAAAAGCTTTGGTCCTAAGTTTTGGTCTTGCATCCCTCCATTGGGAGAAATTATCATTGATTTCCACTCTCTGCCTTCTATTTTTTAACCAGTTACTGATCCATAAGAGGTCCTCCGGTGGCTTTATCCCTTGACTGCTTAGCTCGCTCAAGAGCCTTTGGTGAGGTCCCATCAAGACTTTTAGAAGTCCAGAAGTGCCTAACTGTTCACCCCTGCCCATGTGCGTATTGGTACTTTCAAAGACCCTATTAGGGTTGCAAACCTCCCAAAACATTTGGTTTTTTCCTGCCAGAAAAAGAACACTTTGGAAGACCCCAGATCCAACAAGCAAAAGCAATTCTTATGTTCTCACGATCGGTTACCTCTGTTTGCAAGCCAACATCTCCTCCTCCAATGAATTCTGATGGGCAGCACATCTTACACATTAATTTTCTAGTTTTAACTCGAAAAAGCTACATCTTCCTATTCCTTTCTATGCCCTACATCTTAGGGCCAAAACCTAAGAAACCAAACCAAAAACCCAGCAGAGACAAAGTAGTGCATCTTCCGTTGTATCTAACCCATGCAACCAGCTCCAGAATTTAGGAAGTCAGAACATCAATGCGTAAATAGGCATGACAAGAGATCAGATCTGGCTTTCCTCACAGGGTTGGCGTGCTGCTCCAAAGCCTGGGCTAGAAGAGAGGTCCCAGCCCAAGGCATGGTGCAAGAGGCAGTATCACACTGGCTGGAAAGGCTCAAGACAGGCGGGAAGGAATGGGTAGGTGGCGGACAAAACGGACCAAGCTGCAGGATGCAACAACGGGGAACGAGACAAGGAAGACGGATACATGGAAAGAAGGAGAGATGGACGGACAGGTGGATGAGTAGCCATCCCTGCGGCCTTTGTACCTGCTCCTCCCGTGTGTCTCCACCGGCCCTTGGTATCTTATCTCTCTCCAGGCCACAGGTTCAACTCTTTCCCCCTTGCCTTATAAAGGCTCCAGATAAGCCAGGCCCGGCTCTCCAGAACTGGACCTAGCAGCCCGTTGCCGCCCCGCTCCCTCCCTCCGGCCCATCCATCCCTCCATCCATCCCCTCCCTCTCCTCCTCTTTCTCCAAACAGACAAACTTTCCAAGGGCCCAGCGGGGGGATGGGTGGAGTTTGCAAGAACATCCCCAGCGGCCTGTTTGCTCGGCTTATCTTCTGCCCCCCGTAGGGTTCTTTCCACTGGCCAGTTTGCACAGGACAATGGAAACTTGAGAACACAATGGGGAGCCCGGAGCCACAGGGATCTCTCTGGCTATGCACATGCTGGGCCCGTGCAGACGGACCGGCGGAAGGGCGAAGGTCACCGGTGTCCCTGAGTAAGGTGACCAGCGGGCAAGGGGTCAGCCTCGAGCTGAACCTTGCTTCAGATGGGTTGGCCTTGCAATTTCAATTCAATGCCACGACTAAGCCAAATATCCGGTGAAGTGATGGAAGAGGCTTGGTACGGCTAAATGCAACAGTGCAGCAGGATGCAGACTTAGTTCGGGCGCCCTGGGGCACACAGAAACCCACGCAGGGAATTTGCAATGGGAAAGGAGGCGGGACACTTTCTCCCCTCTCTGCCAGCCAACTTTATCTTGCAACAGAAATGCGAACAGTGCGTTGTTCCAGGTCAGGCTTGCGGGATCTGCAAATATGCACACATATTTCACTAGGACCGTGTGGGCCATCTTTGCCACCAGCCACAACGTGACAGCACGGGCTGGAATCAGTTACCTCCCATTGCATCCCATAAGCCACAAAGAGCCAGTGCGATGTACTGGTTAGACTGGGACTCGGGAGATTCGGGTTCTAGTCCCCACTGCACTGCTTGGGCCAGCCACAGACTCTCAGCCCAACCCACTCAGGGGAGAAATTTGTAAGCCAATTTGGGTTTCTTGCAAGAGGAAAAAAGACATAGCTGCAATGGAGCAACAACAATGCACATGCAAGAGCAATTCTACTTACACGTTTTAATTGAGACTTTTTTTAACAGCTTTGCTCTTGTTGTAGCTCATGTTACAGAATCGGAAGGCGGGATAATGAAAACGTTGGCCGCTTTGCAACAATTTGCAAACTTGACAGATTCCCAAGCAGTCTATTAACAAAGGCTTAGCTGGGGTGCACCTCATTCAAACAGGGCAGTGATGAGGTCTAGTGGGCCCCAGAATCTTCCTCAAAAGAGGATCGGGGTGCCATGGCAAAGAGCGACAAAAAGCAGTCTCCCATTCCCCAAAAGTGGGATATTTGGAAGGCCCAGTCATCCAAAGTGTAGCGGTAGCCAATTGCCTGCAGCAAAAAGCTGCAAAAACCTGGCCTGTTTGGTAAGGAGACGTCCTTGGGGGAAGCTCTTTGGGGCGACCCTAACTCTGCCCTCAAGCAAAGCAGTGGTAAAAGGTAGAGGAGCAGGAAATTGTGAAAAAAAAATGTAACTGTGTAAAACCATCTTGCCCAGAGTCCGGTTCAAACAGTGGCCAGCCAGAATTTATATCCTACCATGTTCCTCTTTCAAAGAATCCAAGCCATTAGTCCTCCTCTCCAGGTTTATCCTCACAACAACAACCCTGTAAGGTTGCACGAGCTGAGAAGGAGTGACTGGCCCAAACTCACCCTGTGAGCTTCATGGCTGAGTGGGGACTAGAACCCAGATCTTCAGGTTCCCCGTTAGGGTTAGGTAAAATGGTAAAATAAAAGTTAAGTAACAGCTTCTATCAAATACGATTTTAACAACATGGTTTCTTTTAAACTGTTGGTGATGAGTTTTTCAATAACACCAATGCTTTTGTGCTTATTACTCCGTAGAAACCTGTAATAGGTTTATTTCTTACAGTACACCTGGGAGAATAGAACCCCAAGGATTTTTCCTGATATTTCTGTCTGTGTTAGAGCCGGAGGCTTGCTTCTTTCTCAAGGGGAAAATAGAACATTCAGATGTCAGACCTGGGATGCTTTGTGGAGCTCAGATGTGCGTGATTGTTATAGGTTCTGGCTTTTAACTTCCATATTTAGGAAGGACAAAGACGGTCCCCTGCTGAATTCCCTCTTTAGTGCTGCTGTTAATGCTTTTTTAATCACTGCCTTTAAGAACTAACCAGGAGCCCCACTTAAAGTTTCCTCTTCTGGGGAGGCCAAGTTTGCCATCATAAGGAGCAGGGTCTTTTCTGTTACAGCCCCCGATCTCTTCAGTGCTCTCCCGGGAAGGCCTGCACATTCCCCTTCCAACTTGCAGAAACGAGTTGACGATTTTTCATCACACCTTTAGTAGCCGGTGTTTCTGAGTAG